ATCATCTCTGGCTTTACATCTACAAGGTGGACCAACAAGGTAGGAGTGTCTATTAGAGCGGACAGTGAGTGGACACAGCGTTTAAAACTCCAGCAGGACTGCTGTGTCCGATCCACTTGTACCAGTGCAACACAAACTAACACCACCACCACATCAGTGTCAGTTCAGTGCTGAGAATGATCCTCCACCCAAATAATACATGCTCTGCAGTGGTTCTGGAAGGGTCCTGACCATTGAACAACAGGGCGAAAGGGGGCTCACACACTATACAGAGAAACAGTTGGACTACAGTCTGTAATTGTAGAACTACAAAGTACATCTATATGGTAAGTGGAGCTAAAAATGGACAATGAGTGTAGAAACAAGGAGGTGGTTTTAATGTTATGGCTGAATGGTGTAAGGGTGCATGGTGCCTTGCATCATCCATTTCATCCCTCCCCCTTCTGCTTGGGCAACAACAGCAGCTTGTGCACCAAATCCCAGCAGTTAGAAGAACAGGCCCAAAACAAAACTCTTTTTTCTTCAAATCAGCTCATCAGAAAATGCATGTTTAGGCTCAAAGTAGTCGCAACAGCTTAGCAAACTCAAACATGGCCACGTGTTTGCTGTAATCACTGAGAGGGGAAAATAATTGATAACGTTTGTGGAAAATGGCCAGAATTTCCCGCTAGTGTGACTCTGTTGTCAGCATAAAGGGGGAATGAGCTCTTCCCTCTTGCCAAAACCATGACACAGCCGCAGAAGTATTTTTACATGGCGGCTCTTGATTCATTAATCTTCTCTGTTATTAGTCAGTTGTTGTAATAGAGCATGCCTCTGTTTTAACCTCTTACATGGGGTTAAAACACGGGGCCCAAAGTTTAATTACACACTTCTATAACCTAATATTAGCTCAACGAGTTTGCGGTAAAGTGCCTGTAGTTACTGAATAATAAGTCTTAGTATGTAATAAGCCTGGGATTTTAAGGGGATAAATGTTGTAGAATATTATTATTTTAATACTTGATATTTAATTTGTATGCAACCTGCTTAGTAGAGGTGGGTGATATGGCAAAAATATCACGATACTTGAAGACATTTTCAGCATTTACTATACATAACATGATGTTTTGTTTTTCTGAGGTTTGATAATTTGGATCAGACACAGTGGTGCCAAGTTTAAAAAATGCTATCAAACACTCAGTACAATCCTTTTTATTTAACGTTTCATATACTGAGCTGCCCTAAATCCAGTTTCACAGAACTGATTGTACTCTCTTTTTAATGAAACATGCAGTTGGTCAGTGTTCTTGGTCAGTACTGATGATGTCCACCATATGCTCAGAAAAGCTTACTGTGATGTAATTTATCACAATAATGATAACATATTATCAAGCACGCCTGCTGTCAAGTTTCAGTTAGGTATAACAATGTAGTCAACTCTGTACACCCTTTAAAAAGATGGTTCCTCAAGGGTTGTTTAGTAAAGAAAATGGTTCTATAGAACCACAAACACTCAAAGAACCCTTTGCATGATTAAAGTCTTCTTTGCATTATGAAAGAGTTCTTCAGATTGATTGAGAATGTGCTGTACATAGTTCTATATAGAACCGTTTTGAAAAACGTTCTATATAGAACCCAAAAGGGTTCACCTATTATCACAAGCTTGACACTGTAACAATAGAAGAACCATTTTGGGTGCTATATAGAACCTTTTTCAAAAAGATTTTTTGTGATGCAAAGAACCCTTTAATCATGAAAAGAACCCTTTAATCATGCAAAGAGTATTTTGCGTCCTAATGGTTTTATATAGAACCATTTTCTTTACTAAAGAACCCTTGAAAACCATCTTTTTTAAGAGTGTAGCATAGCATCTTACACTGGAAGCACAACATTTTGCAGCAAATACGAACTCATTTGTAAGGTTGAATGAGATTTATGCCGGTGTTCTGTACAACCTCATAACAGTTACGAAAGACCACATTAGTGGACGGAGCATGGATGGGTTAATTGGGTCAGCTCTTTTATGAAAGCTCAGCTGTCAGGGCCGCGTGTTGCTGGCAGTTTTCTAAAGGTCAGTTTTCATGGTTAGCATGTTATGAAGCTGAGTGTCTCTATAGTGCTCTTTGTTTTTGTTATCTTCACTTACTTTGAGGGGATTGTTTTTATGCAGTCCCAGATATCTGATTCTGGTGACATTATCAAAGCCCAGCATCATTTCCATTGCATCATCCACAGAAGAGAGCAGAGAATGGATAAATATACATTTTGCAATTCGCTATCTGAGGACTGTGGATGTGCAGTGAACTTGTACTGTGTGAGTGAAGCAGCCAGAGTCTCTAAGCTGATGCTGGTCTACCTGTCTGTCAGGCCTCTGTGCCAAGACTAAATTTAGCACCCCGGCCCAAAATTAGGAAAGAGCGAGCGAGAGAGAGCGAGAGAGAGAAATATGGAGAGCCAGAATGAGTCATCTATTGAGAAGCTGGGGAACAGCCTTTTTCTAGCTGTCCTCCTCCTCCCTATCTGTCTTTCTCTACTCTGTTAATCTCTTTGAGACATATAATGGCAAAAAAAACCTTTTCCATCTCTTATATAGAAATGAGAGTCTCTTAAGTCTTCCCTTAAGCTGAAAAGCAAACAAGCCTTTTCGCTTTATCATCTCTTTTTCTTTTTCCTCCCCAGGGGTTCTATCTTCCTCTCTCACACTCATCCCTTACATTTCCATCTCAAAACAAAGTCTGTTTATTTCCATCTATCCATCCATATCTCTCTGTCTCTGTCTCTTTCTCTCTCTCACTCTCTCTCTCTGTGGCAGTAATGATAAAACACCAGCCATGTTTACACTGTGACTCTTTGTTGAGGCAGCTGTGTTCAGGGAGGCTCTGGATGGTATCTGGACAACATGAATGTACGGGCATGCATGTTTTGATGGCATCAGAGAGAGAGACGACAACAGCAGGCACATGTATATGTAAGAGAAAGAGAGACGTGGAGAGCAACACAGTGCCTGTGTTTGTCTGATAGTAGCATATGTGTAATTGTGTGACGTTTGGTCTGATGAATTTAAAGTTTATCACAGAAATGTTGTCCTCACATGAACGGAAATGTTTTTTGGGTCCCACCTGTAATGAAAATGAAAAAAGTAGTATTTTCCCATGAACATATCCTCCATGTGAGTGTAGAGATATAAAAAAATGCCAATCTTCAAGATTACTGAGGAGAAACGATTGCGGCAACAAAAAGGCTCTTCCATGAGTAGAAGGGAGAACACAATAAAGGGTCAAACGTGCTGCTTCTTGTTGAGGTTCCATAATGCGGGCCTAAGTGTGTGTGTGTGTGTGTATGAGTGATAACATGACAGTTATAAAAAGTGACAGTTATCTCAAAGGCACCCCTCACCCTCTGGCAACCAACTCGGCCCTCTTGCTTATCTTAATTTGTGCTCCTGTTCATCTATGCATTCAGCTCAGTGAAAGACTGAAATAAATATCCAAATCTTTATAACTGGTTACTCTTGCCATACTCATGAAGCACGAATTTCTGAACAAAGTGGCGCCACCTGGCGGTAAAAACTGATTCTTTAACCACCATTTGAAAGCAGTTACACAGGGCTGCTCCCTCAGCCCTGTAAAATTCCTGGATCAGTGGCTTGATTTTTTTTCTGAATTCAGTGGATGCTCATGATACAGTCTAATGTGAACAGATGTCAGCTCTTAGTCTTCTTAGTTGAAGGGCTTATAGCATGAAAAAGTTAATTTTGTCATGTTTTAGACAAAGAGTTTGATGTACTATTTAAACATTTCAAAACATATTATTTACTCCCCAGTCTGTGCAGTACATATGGAAACTAAGCTGCAAAAACAGCCCTTTTTGAATTCATTGTTTTTGTGATGTCGCAAAACACAATGAATTAACATATATTTGCCTATTCAGCCTGCAGCAGTTTAGCCCCGCCCTTTCACGCCTTAGTTATAAAGAGTGTTTCAGTCTGGGGGGCATTTCACAAAGCAGAACTTCCTGGATGGCCTAATAACGACTAAAAACAAGCATGTCTAACATGAGAAGAGTTAATAAACATCACAACTGTACAATACTGTAACATCTAGGTGAAAAAAATACCAGACAGAAACACGACACAAACTGCCAAATGCAGCTCGTCAACGTACGGTTAGGATAGCACGCAGGTCACTTCAAGCCATACTATTCTACTCCATAGTAGACACTAACACCACACCAACCCCACAGCCTGACACAGAATAGCACAAGTGGCATGTACACACACGTAACTAGCATCAAAACAACAATACATGCCCAATTTCTCCCAAGAGCCTCTCCGCACTTCCACTTTGCATGGCCACGCCTCCCGCGCTCCTACGCCAACTTTTCGCTTAAATTATCCAGCTAACTAGAAATCCTGCTTTGTGAAACACCGCAAGGAGCGCTTTTCGAATGAGGCGCAATACAGGGCAGCCAATCAGGGGTCATTTACATACATCAGTCTTAAAGGCACAGTAACCCAATCAGCCTGTTTAAGGGATAAAAAGAGGCTGGGAAATGGCCATGTAAAACTGAATTATGACTGTTTTCAGTTCATGAAACCACAAAACGTCAGAGACCTGAAGGAAGAAAAAAATAAAAAACAGAGTAATATATAACATGGGCCCTTAACGCTCCTCAGTGCTGACTAGTGCCTAAACATGTCACCAGCAGGGCACCTTTCCAAAATAATTGTCCCTACGTTGACGGTAATCTGAACCAACCAAACCCGTTCTTTGTGTAGAAATGTTTTGACTGGACAGCTTAAACTTCAAACATAAGAAAACCAAAATCCAGCGGGACGGCGACACTCTTTGCACATCGGTTTCAGATGGAAAACATCAAAAGCCTGAAACAAAGTCTTTAAATCAGTGTGATAATGTGATTGGTCTCCACTTCCACTGAACATCAAGAGGAATGTTTTTCCGTGTCATCGTACGTCATCGCTTATGTGCTTGGGCAGGGCGCGTGCTTGCTAGTGGACGTGGCAATGACGTCCCGCGCCGGAAGCCGTCAGGACTGAAACTCCAACCTCCGTAACGTCGGCAAACCGGGGACGCGAACAAACCGACGGATTTACCAAATAACAGTAAGTAAATTGACATTATTTCTCTGTTTGGTGTTGGCAGCAGTGTTGGTGTGGTGTTTTCAGAACTTTCGTACTGCAGCGCACCGTGTTACTCGATCTTGTGTCGAGTTTTTTCACTAGTTAGCAAACAAAGCTAACCAGCTGACTGAGCTACGCAGCTAATAGTGTTTGCCGTTCTCTCCGTAGCTGATACCGCTGGATAAAGATACGGGTTTTGTTCACTGTCTAGTGAAGATAATTGACGTGTTTGTGTTAGAGTTTGTGTCAGAGTTTGTGTCGTATTTGACATTATCTGTTTACCGTTATATTAGTGTGCGGAAGCCCTGATTAAGTGAATTGAATCGGGGGTACAGTCAGCTGGAGCCGGCTAAGTAGCTAACGTTAGGTAATGATGCCTGAGAGGTTTTCCCCAAGCAGCTGATATTCCGACTGAGCTGGAAGCTTCTAGGCGACCTCATATTACCTGTTACATTTATTGTCCCATTAATGGCTTTAATTTTAGATTACATTGCAGCCAACGGTTCTGTGCGTCACGTGACCGCTTCAGATTAAAGGGATTGTTGTGAAGTTCATAGTCCAAAATTGCCTTCCCTGGATCACTTGTTTGTACATGGACATCACTTAATCACATGGTAAACAATTGACTAAAAACGTCTTTCTCTCATTCACAGATATGAGGCGCGGGGGCATTCAAGAGCAGTCCTCTTTTTCAAGCTCCTAGAGTTTGTTTCCCTTGGCCTGGTTAAGCTAAGCAAGGCAGAGGGGTTCTTCTCGGACTCATTTGTTGTAGTTACCTGCCTACACACCTTGTAGTTCACAGTATCTTCAGCATCATGACGTGTAGAGACCGCACACTCGAGTTTCAGTCTGCTTGCAAGTCCCTGCAGGGGAGACAGTTACAGGTAGGCCACCACTTTCCCACCTCACGATGGATTCTTTCTTCACTGGTGATTTTAGGTACCACTGTCCAGTGTTATTGGTTTGAATTAGGGATGCACAACGATTTTGGCATCGCATCACTATTGGTGGATATTAGCTAGGAAAAATTGTTGTTAGGTATTTCAAACTGATATTTGATTAAATATTTATTATACATCAGAAGAGCATAACATTTAAGTGATGCTAAAATGTCTACATTTTATTCATTTCAATACATTTAACACTTCAAAAATGTTGAATTTTTCTGTACTGCTAGTCTGAATGGATCCAACCTCAGTTTCTACATTTTATGAGTGTTTTTTTATCGCAGTGTTTCCCACAGGTCTGAAATATACCTGGGGGAATCTTCTGAGAGATGGGCATATTCTAATCTTATATGGGCACATATGATTTGGAGTAAAAAATAAAAAAGAAGACATCATGCATGTGTACATTTGTAGTGTATGTTATTTTATGGTGTGTGAAGCATTGAACCAAAGAAATATTAAAACACAAGCGCCCAATATTGTGTCTTTTTACACAAACTATGCCCCTTTTTTTTAAAAAACGAGAGAAAATGTTTGACATTTTTTAACTTTGATGCTTTTAGGGTTTTGCCCAAGTATAACTTATTTGTGGGAAACACTATATTGATATCGGCATTGGCAGATATGTACTTGATGTCGGTGCATCCCTGATTTAAAAATGATGTTTTACATTTATGCAGTGACTCAAAATACACATGGAAGCCTAAACAGAGGACTTTGTAGCATTCTTTGTGATTTTTCAGCTCAGTTAATTATTTACACTTTTGTGAATCAAGTGCTTTTTAGATTCCAGGACTAGCTGGTTGAAGGGGAGTGATTGAGAATGTATGTAAATCTATAGATACAAGACTGTAAATTTAGGAAGTCTGATCAAAGCTAGGGCTCCCTAACTGTAGATATGTTAGTGTCAGAAACATGCCCAATGTCTGTATATTTGTATCAGTTTAGAACTGGACCTATATGTAGTATTCACAGGATTCTATAATATTTTCACATGAGAACAGTAGCTTTGCAACACTGATGAAATGTGGTGCAATTTGCAGTTTTTCATTGTACAAATTCTGAACTAAGCTGCCCAACTGAGTTGTTGCTTCTGAGCAATGAAGGATGTTAGAACTTGTATGTATTGTGAACGATCATTAACCAGCAAGAGCTGCCATGGTCATGAAATTTTAGTCTAATAAACCAGTCAAGGATTTCATCGCCTTTTCTTGTATGTATTAAAATATAAGCCTAAAGTGGCATAATTGGCTGACCAACCACTTTACTTGCTAGCTATGTTTACTTAGTAGCTAACACTTGTTGTACTGTCAGAGTCTACTTTCACACAAATCAGTTAAGCAAAGTTACATTTTCTTAGCAAGAATAAAAATGTTAGCAAAAAAACTCCTTAAGCCAACACATAAATGTGAAAAACATTTGGAATTAGCTACATTTGCTAACAAATGAACTAACATTACTCAGTGCTGCCCTCTAAACATTTTAGCGCACCAAGTTAGAAGTTAGAACCTCTTTTTTGCTTTCTCAATAAATGCATTTAGTGCCTTCTTTTATTTACACTATTTTGCCTCAAACGAGCACACACAATTCACTGTTTGATTGTTGCAGCACAATATGATTGTGAAATCTAACCACTGTGGAAAATAATTGCGGTCATCTTAAATAATTGCAATCATCTCAAATAACTCCACAGGCATCAGTCCAGCGCTTATATATTCATGGGCCACAAAAGTCTTTGTATATGATACGTGAGACCCAACATTTCAGTATTAGGGTATAAACAAACAGGAGTTTATGTCATGGTAGTGCATGTCTTATTTTACAGAGATGATATTAAAGTTCCCCAGTATTCTTCAGTTTACAATAAATGCTGCTAGTTGTGTGTTCATGTTGTCTTTGCCATTACTCAGTTTGTCAGAATTTGTCCTGCTGTATGTTATTGTTCCAATATATTAATAAATCTTTTCCACACTCTCCACAATAGAATGGTGCACAGGCAAAACCCACGCTTAATGCTCTGAAACAGCGAAGTGACTTTACAGTCATGGCAAAGTAAGACTTAATGCAAATGCTTTTGAAATTACATATTTCTTTACATTTCACATTTCCTGATTACATTAGAACATTTCTCTTCATATAATTTTCTCTTTTTCTGCCTCTTAGGAGAATTGGGAAAGACTTGAGTAACACTTTCGCCAAACTGGAAAAGCTAACGATTTGTAAGTATCCTCTGGCCAGGATAGATAGCTAAAAGTATGTTGCTACATACTGCATTTGTGAAAAGTCTATTAAAACATCTAAAAACACACATTTACTGAACCCTTGATATGACAGGATTAGGTGGGCCTGCATTGTTTTGAACAAAATTATTTGCATATTGGATTATGTGAATGCCTTGATTCATCAAGACACCCACATAACACACCTCACAGCACACAGCTGGTGATTTGTTAGTTTTTTTTTTTTGCATGTTGCCACATTAAGTAATATCACTACGGATAGACTTGTATTATGATATTTAACATAAATATACATATTGGTCAGCTATCTTATATTGTGATTGATCCTGCAGCTGTGTCGGTAATCTCCACATTTTTTGATAACACTTTTCATCTTTTCAGTGGCCAAAAGGAAGTCTCTGTTTGACGATAAATCTGTTGAGATTGAAGAATTAACTTACATTATAAAGCAGGTTAGTACACGCATTTTCATTAAAAATGTTGGAAATTGCGCTTGCTTTTGCAGAATCCTTTCCATAGATATGTTCATGAAGCAAAAGCATATTACCAAAAATACAAAGTGGTCTGCCTGTCATAAAATGTATTACCTGCTGAAAACTATAATTTAAAATGCTGTGTGCATGTTGAGTTGACAAACAAAGCAGATAGAGGAAAGAATGTGGATCGTTTTTAAGAAAATGTGGTTACAATATTAAATTTAAATGTAAGTGTATATATTATATAATTTAAAAACTATATAATATAAAACTTGACTGATCACATATAGAATGTAAGTATAGCCCATTAAGCTTTGACTACACACATGTGCTTTTGATATGTGTGATTTTTCTATCTCCTTGGACTAAAATAGCCAATGCTGAGTATGACTGTGGCCTCACTGATTTTTGGGTCTCCCTGTTTGTTGCTCAGGACATCAACAGTTTGAATAAACAGATAGCACAGCTACAAGATCTGGTACGCTCCCGCAGCGGACAGAATGGACGCCACATTCAGACACATTCCAACACGATTGTTGTCTCTCTCCAGGTTAGAAGTTTTATCAGATGTTCTCAAAGAAAGCTTTCAGAGATTACCATCTCTCTTGTCTGGGTTTATGTGCATTGACTTGACATGTTACTGTACTGTTTGATACGCTTAAGTAAAAAGCATTTGATTGTTGCAAAAGAAGCATTCCACATTGCGTTGAACTAAACAGTACTCCATTTTCTGTGTTTACAGTCAAAGCTGGCATCAATGTCTAATGATTTCAAGTCAGTGTTGGAAGTGAGAACAGAGGTAAGATTCATGTAGTTGTTGATTTTTGTCCAAAGTTTCGCACATGCACACCCAATAATGTTATCTAATTCAAATAGTCACTAATGTAGCATGTATTTCATACCTGTGATTCTGACATTTCTTTGCTATAATTCCTGATTAAGAGTTTTTTTTTTTCTCCTGTCTCTCAATAGAATCTAAAGCAACAGCGTAGCAGGAGAGAACAGTTTTCTCAGGCACCAGTGTCTGCCTCTCCTCTTCTTGCCAACAACTTCAGTAAGTTAACAATTCCTCTGCTTTTTTGGTCTCCTAAAAGGGAGGTTATAACATATTTCATTAGGAGTAAACTGAGCAAATTTGAGCAAATACTTTTTTTGTTTGTTAATGTTTATTTGCCTGGTGTAAACAAAAGGGAGCCCATCCTCATCTGCCTATACTGAACTTCTTGATTTCATAACCAGCCTGTACAAATCCTGACCGAATTTTAGCGGAATGTCTAAAATGTCAAGCCAGTTTATATGCTGAGTTCATGCTGTGAAAAATCTGCAGTAAAAACCTGTATTTGACTCTTTACAGATAGCTCAGTACTGATGCAGGATGAATCTAGAAGCCTGGGTAGTGATGTCGCCATTGACATGGACTCAAGAGCAAATCCCCTCCAACTGCAGCTTATTGATGAACAGGTATTATTCACTATCAGGTTTCAGTTTAACAATATCATTATTGTGCCTCAGGATGAAGTAGCCATCGTATTATGTTGGTTGGTTTATTGTCGCTCCAGTTTTGCTGAATGTTCATTTGTCTGAACAGCATGATACATTTTCAGTTATTTCTTAATTGCATTTTTTTAAATAATTAAACATGATCTTAAAACCCATTCTTTCGTTCACTTGTGTCCTGGCTTTTGGGGTTTTGTGTAGGACTCGTACATCCAGAGTCGAGCAGATACCATGCAAAACATTGAGAGCACCATTGTGGAGCTGGGCTCCATCTTCCAGCAGCTGGCACACATGGTCAAAGAGCAGGAGGAGACCATACAGAGGTGAGAAGTAGAATCCTGAACAGTAATATGGAGGAGGGTCTTCATGTTAAGTAGTATTATTGTGTAAAAATTATTTGGTGGAATCATTAAATAAGAATAATTTCATTAAATCGCTTAATTCAGAGTTGTTTCATTTAATCTTTTAAGGTGACCCATCCCTGGCCTAGTGTTTGCTGTATTAAAGTTGTATGTGATGGTGTTTTGGAATTGAGACTGAAATAACCCTGTTTTGAGCCCATACTTTGAATTATTTATCATTACTCGTATGACATGGACTGCATGCTGTACAAAAGTCGATGAAAAACAAGAGAATATAGTGTATTCCTTTGGGAGCTCAGTCTCTTGCAGTGCCATTGAGCCTATCACAGAATTGTATTGACTGTCCCCTCTTTCCATATTTTTAGCCAACACATTTAAAATCGTTATACTGTTCTTTAAGTCACAAAGAGCAAATTTGGGCCAGAGGCTAAGGTTACTATCTAACGTCGTTCAGTACAGTCGTATGCAAAAGTTGGGGCAGCTTTGGTCAAATGTTTTGTTGATTATTGAAAATAAGTGCACATCCTCTACAGACAACATGCTTCTGCACATTTTAATAAATAATTACTGTTTATTTGCTGAATGGAATTTTTTGGGGGAAAAAACATGTGGCCCATGCAAAAGTTATGGCGCAAGATATGTTGTATTTGTGTCCAATATGAACTCAAAGTAAAATTGTGTACTGAAATTTGCAGACAGATGTCGTGTGTGGGTTTTGTAGAGGAGGTTTTAACTTCTTTTCATGTATAAAATCAACAAAACATGTAACCTGATTAGGACTGTTGGGTGATGAATGTTTACATGAGATGATAGATTTTTTTTTTTTGTCTGTAGTAGACATTAATTGAGGTTGATCTTTTTGTAGGATTGATTCCAATGTGGAGGACACTCAGCTGAACGTGGAAATGGCCCACTCTGAGATTCTCAAATACTTTCAGTCGGTCTCCTCCAACCGCTGGCTCATGATCAAGATATTCCTCGTGCTTGTTGTTTTCTTCATCATCTTTGTGGTCTTCCTTGCCTGAGATGGAAAGACCATAAGAAGGAGGATGGGATGAAGAAGGGAAACGAGTGGATTGGGTGCAGCTGCAATGGACTACAGTGGGCAATGTGCAACAAAACAAACTAGACTGGACAACAATAGGTCTACTATATGGGCACCACAAGGGTGGATGGACTGTAATGCTTATGGGTTGTACTTGCCTAACCCTTCTACTGCGAATGACAGATGTTAAATAACTTGTAGAAACTCTCTGTGCAGTTAGTCTCCCTTTCTGGATAGATCAGTGTGATGAAGGCAGAAGTAACACATTATGTTCTATTCAAAGGGGGAGAACTACAGTCAGATTTCACTCATGTCCTTTCTCTTTGTTACCTTTAGACATCTACATTATTCAAACTGAGCCCTCCCTTTTTGTACTTATTGTAAAGAGAAGGCTTATTTTGTTGAACGGTTTGATTCTGCAAACTGGTTTAGTAATTTCTTCTGACAGTGTTATCAGTAATCGGTGATAACATGAATGATGTAAAATGCTCCATTTTACGATAAATTAATGTGACCACCTGTACAGTTCTCCCTATGATAAGCTTTCCATCTTAAATTAATTCTTGTGAATCATTCTGACTCCTGTTTGTATGAAGGAGGATCAGTTATTTGATAATGGTAAAAAATAATAGCCTATAATGGCTTTTTACTGTAAATTGTTGAGTTCCTTATTTTCTTAGTTTTATTTTTGCCAAATGGAGATAGCTAAACGCCAGTGGGAGTACTCCAGTCTCATGATTTTACACCTGGAGTTGTGTAAATGAAGACTGTTTTTTGATGCAGTGTTTAGTTGACCATTCTAGCTAAAGTCGCTTAAAATGTCCCTTAAGTGAGTCAAAATGTCCTTTATTTTTAAACCATTAAAGCCTTTGCTCAGGCTGTCTCTCAAACTAGCCACTATGTATGCAGAGTTGGCTAAGTAGTCTTAGGTGATGAATAAACTCTGCAGTGCAGTGACTGCTAAAGGACAAAGAAGCTAATGGTCAAAAATGTTACCATCAGCAAATTCCAAGTCTCTCTGACTGTTCCTCATTCAGCAGGCAATTTGTTTCTTCTTTAACAGACTATTCAAACATAATGCACCAATGTATAGTGTATTATTTAATAAGCACTTTTTATCAAACTTACTTTTCCTCTCTTTTATAGCTGAATGCCTTGCCTTGTGTAAGAACTGAACATAGTAACTGATGTCTGGAAAGAAAGTGCATATTAAAAACAAATCTACAACAGCGAAAAGGATCCCCCCTTTGTAAACTTGTAGAGCTTTTTATGAACTTATTGGTATGTGCTAACAATCACCCACTTCCAAGGCTTTTTGAAAATGTGTTAAGTTTTATTCATGCGAAACTTCAAAAATGACATATGTTACAACATATACAGACACATATGAGGAGATTTCAAACATCACTAGGCTGAGGCCTATTACATACTTTCATAGTTGTAGTTCTTGGTCTGATCTATGTATGAAGGTATGAAGGTATGAAGCACCTGTGTGAATAAGTTGTAGAAACTCTCGTGTGAATAAGTTGTAGAAACTCTCTTATAAAAGCTCAGTTTTTTTCTCTCCTTTCATCCCTCTTATGCTTCTTCAGTCTTTCTTCTTTCCTCCATCCCATGTGGTCTCTCTTTTTCCTCTTTCTCTTGGGCTGAATCCCAGTTGGCTTCCTGCTCCCCACAGTGCACAACATAGGGCATGAAAAAATGACTTGAACAAATTGGTACACTCTGTGTCCAGTATGAAGCCATGTGGGGTTCAGTGTCTCTCTCTTTCTTTTGGGCTAAATCCCAAATTGCTCCCTGCTCCCCACAGTGCACTACATAGGAATAAAAGCTTCTACACCTGAATAGTGCACTATATGTTCAAGAGAGCTCAATTTGGGTTTCAGCCTCTCTCTGACCTCTGTCCTTGCCTTCTCTCCATTCTCTCTTTCTCTCACTCACTCTCTCTTTCGCTTGCTCCTGCCATCCCCCAATCCCAAATGGCTCACTTGTTCCCCATATCGTACACTACATAGGGCATGAAATTAATACCTTGACACTTAAATAGTGCACTACGTGTTCTGTAGGGAGCCATGAGGGATTCAGCCTCTCTCTCTCTCTCTCTGCCTCTCTCTCTCTCTCTCTCTCTCGAACCTCTTCCCTTGCCTACTTTCTATTTTCAACTCTTCCACCTCTCTGCTGCTCCTCAGCTCTGAGCAGCCTGCTCAATGGGGATGATCTCCGGCATGCTCTGACTCCTCCCCCTCCTCGCCCTCGCCACGGCGCTTACTTGCCCCACGGCCTCCTCCTCTTCCTCCTCCTCGTCAGACCAGGCGGGCTCCTCCTGCAGGTTTCCTCTGGACCCCCCGAAGCTCCCCCTGCCGCGGCTCAGTGTGCGCAGTTTGGAGCGGAAGGTGACGAAGGACAGACTCTTACTGCGCTGCTTGTCACAGCGGCCGTTCCTGGCCTGCAGCTCCGCGTCGCCCCGAGCTTCATCCAGGCAGGCCCGCAGCACGGAGCGGAAGAGCTGCGGCACCTCGTGCACTTCTGGCTCATACTCCGTCACCAGCTTACGGAACCTGAGCATCATACAAATCATTGCTGACAAGCTGAGGCAGGCGAATCTTTGTCAGCCTATCCTGCGGCTAGAGATGGACCGAGTAGCCTAAAACACATCCTCAAAAACCTCATTTTAATTAAATAGTGACTAGAAGAAGTAAAAGTATCTAGTAACAACTATGAGGTTTAAAAAAACTTAAAGCATCAGTTCAAAAAAAGTAATGTGTTCCTTCTGGGACTGCAGGTGAGCATCTTAGTATTTGCCCATTTATCAACATAGAAAATGGAGTTTGTTAGATGCTATTCTTCTCCTTTTGAGATCCTTTTGGTCTAAAACATGTTTCTGACCCTGTTCCTGGAGCAACCCCTGCCCTGCACGTTTTAGTGTTTTTCTGGCTCCCAACAAACCCAGTTGAAGTGCTTGTTGATAAGCTGATTAGTTGGATCAGGGGTGTTGGGAGCAGGAGAAACATTAAAATGGGGGTACTTCAGGACAAAGGTTGGGAGCTACTGATCTAAAAGAAAGTAAGAAGTGTAACAGCAAAGCAGTCCAAGTACTGAACCAGCAGAACAGCAGAAGCTAAACCCAGAAAAGTAATTAATAAACTAAATGTGAAGGACTAAAATGGAACTGAGCAAAGAGTACAATGTCACTGTTAAAAACCTGGTATCTCCATTTTTGCCACTGTTTAGTTTTTACATAATTTGAAAACGCCAGCTGCCATATATAATGTATCTAAATTTAATGACAAATGGTCTTTAGAATAAGACCTTGTTACATTGACTTACAGTGAAATGTAAGAATGTTTTTCCCTTCTCAATAATTGGTTCTCCATAAATGTACTTTGAAAAAACTATGCAGAACTGAATAAATTGATGTATTACCCACCTCTGGCCATGATGAGGGAAACTCATGAGTAACTCATGTTTTCTCTGATCAAATGGATCAGTCAACTATGCAATATGTTCACCATTTGCAAAAGTAAGTAATAATTTATTAATAAATACATTAATTTACGATTAGTTGTAGTATGTGTCTTGACCTCACTTGCATATTACTCTGAATGAATGAATTCTCCTCACCTGACAATGACGGGGCCGCACTGTGGAGGAGGTATCTGGGCACAGAGTTCTTGAAGGTCCAGCACGTCTCCAGGTGTGAGCTCGTAGGGGACATGAGGCTGAGGCCCAGCCAGCCAGCTATAGTCCACTGAGGACGAGGAGCTACGACGGCGGCGGACCTGAGTGGCTCTCTCCAGACGGATGCGTTCGGTTCTCTTCACCATGGCCCCCAGTTCCAGCATCAGCGTGTTGGTAACCAGCTCCTCTGGAGTGCGCTGGCCTGGCACTTTTGGCTCCAGAGAGAACACAGCAGACCAGGGGAACATCTGAGAGTGAAAGATTAGGCTGTTTATCATTTTCAAATAAAAATTTCTTAAGTTCTTATTTGATTTCTTTATGTAATACAGAGGCAGTTTACATTCAGTGCAGGAGAGATACTGTAAGTTCTTCTGGGTTCTCCTTCCCAGGCTATTGACTCAAAGTCTATACCTTCTGATAGGAAGCTGTATTACTCTTAAAAATTTCTCGCCCATTAAAACTTACCTTTCAGATAGATGATTTCAGTTTCACAAGTGTAGATTTACTCCAACTTAATTGTCAGCAGCCCAAGTTTTATATTCAATGGCACATGTACATTGACTGTCAAGCAGAAATCCTTTGCAGTTTAAGAAAATACACGTCCAAGGTTTTGTGTGCACCGGCAAGATACCCTCTCTGGTCTGCGTAGTAATCACTTGGAGTAAGAGAATAATCCTGTATAAATACATGTGACAGTCATGTCTTACCTACCCAGTTAAGCCTTTAGGAGTAGGTGTATGTGTACGTGTTTGAGAGAACAGATGTCTCACATATATAACTACTCAAACGTCATAGTTGTTGTAACAGTTAGGCTATATACATCTCACAGGGAGATGAACACCCAGATTAGGTCTTATTCATGAAATGCAGTATAGTCATAATGGTGGTGTATTTGATATGCATTTTGTACATCATAAAAACATAACACATTTTGTACACAATATGCATGTTGTAATATAATTAAAGCGATTACAAAACTTAAGAAATTCCTAAGGATGCAGCTTTGATGCATTACACGTAAAATTTAAATATGTAATGCATCAATGCTGCGTACCCCAAAGGTCTGAAGCAGGTAGTAGAAGTAGAAGCGGCACATCACTACTATTGTTGGAAATAAAACAGTCGTTATAATAGTGACTGTAAAATGTCTTGTGGTATAGGCCATCTTTAAACATGGATAGCACATTCATTACACCAAGCCCATAATCCCTTCATAGATTGCATAAGCTAAGTATCATCTTAATCATTCTGTCCCCTGCAGTCTGTCTGTGAACACCCTGTAGCTCTAGCAGACAGTAGTCTGAAAGTATTCCGGATATTGCAGGGGTTTCCACGCAGCTCAGCATTCACAAGGCTTTATTCTCTGTTTGTATTAATAATGATTATGCTGCAGTTTCATGCAGTGCGTGGACACAGACTGCAGGCAATGCTAATGTAATCTCATTACATTCTGTTTGTGTCACTATTACTGATATCACTGCATAGATACAAAGAGGCATTGCAATTGGCTAAAACCTGAAATTCCAATTGTTGTTTTTCAGCTTTGACATAATTTGAAAATGTCTGTTGCCCTTTACACTGTATGTAAATTTCAGAATGAATGGACCAAAAGAAACTGACTAAAAAAATCTGATTCCATTGATATAGATAACAAATAAATAATTATCAGGAAAAATAAGTGAAAGTAAAAAAACTTACAATACCTTGGTTGCATAAGTGTGCACACCCCCACAACTAATATTTTGTTGAAGCACCTTTTAAATTTAATACAGCTCCAAACCTTTAAGTTTATAAGTCCTTTCATGGATTTTGCCATTTTATCCCTCTTTCTTGAGAGGTTACTTCACCAGTTAACTTACATCAGCACTACACTGTTGGCCTTGACATCTGTTTGTCTCCCTTCTATTCACAGTGCGTGACTCACAATCTGCAATATGATACATTTGTTATTCATCATTTTAAAAGCATGCAAATTATATTGTATTTTGTTATTATATTCATTCGCTGAAACTGTGCTGTTACACCAGTCTTTATCTATATTATCTGTCTATGAAAATCCTGCAGTCCATGGAATCATGTCATCATACACTATTTATGAATAAGAAGAGTGGATAGAATATTGCTGCTGTATCTGCCATGTCTCGAGTTTCTGTCATAACATTAAAGCTACACAGTTAGTCCATTTAATCAGATCCATATACAGACGTAAGTCCATCTGTTTCTCTGCATACTTTATTAGCCACCTTTCACCCTGCTCTTCAATGGTCAGGACCCCTACAGGACCACCACAGAGCAGGTATTATTTAGGTGGTGGATCCTTTTCAGCACTGCAGTGAAACTGACATGGTGGTGGCGTGTTAGTGTGTGTTGCGCTGGTATGAGCTGGTCAGACACAGTAGTGCAGTGCTCTACTTGATGTCCACTCTGACACTCCTACCTTGTTGGTCCACCTTGTAGATGTAAAGTCAGAGACAGTAGCTCATCTGCCGCTGCACAGTTTTTCTTGGTCATTCTCAAGTCCTTAATCAGTGATCACAGGATGCTGCCTACAAGATGCTGTTGGCTGGGTATTTTTGGTTGGTTCGACCATACCCAATCCAGCAGTGAGCACTGCTGTGTCTGATCCACTCGCACCAGCACAACACACACTAACACGCCACCACCACGTCAGTGTCACTGCAGTGCTAAGGATGATCCACAACCCAAATTATATAGTCTCTGTAGTGGTCCTGTGGGGGTCCTGACCATTGAAGAACAGGGTGAAAGAGGGCTACAGTCTGTAACTGTAGAACTCCATAGTGCACCTATACGGTGAATGGAATTGATATAATGAAGAAAAAAAGGTGTTTTTAATGTTGCGACTGGTCGGTGTGTATGATCTTGTTTCAGTCACATTGTGAGTTGTGTTCTGCCCTCCTGTGGCTGAAATGGAAACTAGGGGAGGCGAGGCCCCGCCTTCTAACTACGTCACCCTCTCCGCCTCGTGTCAAATCAAGTTTAGGAGGGCTGACGGGGCGCACGAGACGCGCCGCGTCTGTTGTGTTGTCGGATAGCAGGTTAGCTTAGATATCGTTGGGTTCATTTAGTTTTCAGACGCGATATTTTGTACACAACCGGTAGAAGAAATCTCTGCTTCCAAATGGTTTACGTCGGGCATCGTGAAATGAATGACCGTGATTTACAAACCCCAGAAGTGGCGGTAAGTGATCCCCAACATACTCGCTAGCTAAGCTAAGCAGCGCGACGCGGTGTGTCTGTTAATAATTTAATCTCAGTACACTGGCCTGGCTTTTTGTTGTTTTTTTTTAGCTGGCATCAGGCATGGCTTTGAGGCTGTTGCACTTTGTCGTTCTTTTTTCCTTCCCTTTTTTAAATCATGCTTGCAATGGGAGCTGCCATAATAAACCGGGGGACAAGCGGTTGTTTGCTTGGTGACTAACGTTACCATCCATTAAAGATGCTTCTTCGTCATAACGATATTCGGTTCAGTTCGTAACTGTAATCCAAAGCGCAATAAAGTAAATAATGTTTAAAGTCCTTTAGCAAATAAGTTACATAAAGTGTGAGAGAAGCTGTAGATAGAGCCAAAGCAGCTTCTTTGGCTGCTCCCTGATCCCTTTATTGGCAGCACTAACATCAGGCTCTTTGCTTTGTTTTGCTAATCAGCGTGACCGAAGGTCCACAGGCACGAGAGCTCCTCAGATCAAGATATGAAGTTTGTAGTTGGACCCATGATCCGGATTTTCCACATTCCTCTCACTGTACAACACCTTTCCGTATGAATGGATGAACACTTTCAGTGAACAAAAGAGTCTATTTCAAAACCCAGTTTAGATTTCTGCTTAAAAAGATTAGATTCTTTTATTTCTCTTCTGAGTGACCTTTGTGTCGTTTATATTTTATTATTTATGCAATCTGCCATGTCGGTGTCTTGGCAGCAGAATTCCCTTGAGTGTGTTTCCATGAGAACCTGAACAAAAATACAAACTGACTCTTACACATCTGCAGACTGGATGAACCAGCTTGTTGCTGGATTGCCCGCAGTGGATGTAGTCACTCTCCAAGTCAGAAACAAGTATGGATAGAAATACTTCCCTGAGGCAGAACGCTGTTTTGCACTGAGTTTCCATTGGAACTAGAACCTTGTAATGTAAAGTATTTCCAGATCTTGTCTTTCACCACCTGGTCATGCTCACTTTGTCATGCCTGTTCTCTTGTTTCCAGAACTGAGAACCACCTGTCTGTAAACCCTGGTGGATTTCTGTAACACAGCTCTGGTTCTGGTGGCTGCAAGTGTGTGCTACGATGAGCTGGGCCACAGAAGACTGGACCGCAGGTCTCTCTGGCCGTGTCCTGCAAAAGGTTCAGGAGCTTCAGGCGCACAATGAGAAGCTGAACCGAGAGAGACAGCAGAGGCAGCTCCAGCTGGACAACTCTGAGGCAGCCCTGCACAAACAGAAGCAAAAGGTTGCGTGACTTGATAACATTTATCTGTGGAGCTGCTGCGAAATGGAAGTGCTTGATTTGTGCTTGATCAACTGTCTGAAATAAATGAAATGACTGAAGACCTTTTTTGTACAATAATGCATTAGGCAAGGTATTGCAGTATTTGTAATTATAGATGAAGCAAGATTTGTAATTATAAAAACTGTCAGCTTAATGGACTTATAAGTAGCAGGCATTAACTAAGCCAGCCTTGTAATTGCAGAGCTCTTGTAGAGCTAGGTGGAGCAAAAGGTAAAGGTATTTATTTTGTTTGTTTCTCACTGAGCCAAGCATACAGTTGGCTATGAGCTATGAGTCGTTTGAACATATTGTGGTTGCATTATGAAACTGATCTAGGATAAATATATATTTAACATATAAACCTTAATGAGTTCAATTTCCAGTCAACATGGCCATTACATACAACTTATTCCTTTCTCAAGGGATATTCCTAATGAGACTAAATATAGAATAATCTACTTGTTTAAGGAAGGGGAAAGTCAAAGGAACGATCATCTTTTAAGAGATAAAAGAAAATCAAGCTCCACTCTTACTTCAGATCTGAAAAAAAGCACAGGTTTTTGTCTCTCCTTCCGCTGTAAGAACATAACTCAATGCTATAGGTCTGAAAGGATGTGTAGCTGTCAAGAAGCTGTTACTGAGAAAAGGAAATGCACAAAAAAGAAGAAAATTTGCAAATCAAACAAAGAAGCTGCTGGTCTTCTCAGAACAATGGACTGGCCACCCCTCAACATCACTAAATGTGTTTAGGTAATCTTGGATTTTGAAAAAACGAAAGTACAGCCAACTTGTGGAAAAATATCCCTGCTGATTTCTTTGAAAAACTGAAAGCGAGTCTCCTGAAAAGAATGGAAACTGTCATAAAGGTTAAGCCTGGACACACTAACTACTAAACAAATTGATGTTCTTATTCAAATGTGTTAAGGCTTCTGATACTCAAACATGAGTACTTACTTGTACTTAATGTCCATTTTGACTGGGAATTACATAAATGAAGGGTGGTCTCTGACTTTTGCACAGTACTGTATAGTATATTTAAAGAGTGTTTGTCAAATACTGTAAATATCAATCCAAACTTTATCTTTCTTTACCATGCAAAGGTCACTGGGAATCCTGATGTATGGTTGAATTGTCTGACAAAGGATTTACATATGATATTTCAGTGCTGGTGCTTTTATTATTTTGTCTTTAACCCTTACACCACTCTATCCCTGTCTCAGTATGAGGAAGTACGTGTGGAGCTGGCGGCAGTGCAGAGGGAGCTGGTGGGAGTTCGAGAGGGGGCGCAGGCAGAGGTGCGAGTGAGGGAGAGACTGGCCCAAGAGCTTCAGACGAAAGCTGCTCACGTGTGCGCTCTTGAGAGCCAACTCGAGTCGGCAAAAACACTTACACAGAGGCTCACACAGGAGGTTAAACGGTGAGAGACCTGCAGCCTCACAGTAGAAGCGCAATAGAGTGACCAGTGACATGCACACAGTAACAGTATACAAATGTACAAAGCATGACTAGCACAATAGGTGTGTATTAACATACTCATGTAAGCTTCATAGTGTCAGCTTCATCAGGATGTGTGGAATCCTAAATAGCTTTGGAAATCTCTGTGGATTGCCATGAGCTAAATAAAAGGAAATTCAGGAAATCAAATTTGCATGATTACGGCCCTCTACTAATTAAGATGGAGGTGCTAAATGATTTAGAGCTTCCTCTTGACCTCCCCCTGTCTCTCCCTCCCCCAGACTGGAGGCTGAGCTGGAAAAGCTACAGAAGGATAGTCTCTCAGGAGACTCCATGTTGTTTTCCACTCCATGCTGGAACATAAACTCACCCTGGGATCAAAACGGTATCCTCCCTTCTGTTTTTCTTTTTCTTTGCTCCATATTGTTTTTCTGTCACTCCTCATCACTTCATTTCTAATGTTGTGCACTAGTACCATATCATTCAGAGAAACCTGAACCCCAAATGAAACTTGTAAAAGAAATCATTATTTGTTTCCAAGAGCAAATCACTGCACAGTGTGTTTTTATTCTTTCTGTGACACTGTGCTCTGAGCCTAGATATATAACGTCAATTCTCTGTGCTTGTATCTCTGCAGGTGGTAAGAGTGGTCTCAGAGGAGAATGCGACACTAAAGCTCACCATGTCAGAGTGAGTTTCCTCAAACACAAACAGTCCTTCACCTCAGTTTCTAAACTGACCTGCATAAACTTTGTCCTGCACGTTTTTTGGACACTTAGGAAAAGTTTTGGCAAATTAATCAAATATTTAAACAGACTTAAAACAGAATTCTTGGTACTAACAGTTTTTGCTTGTCCTATTCCTCTGTAGCAACAGCTTCTGTTTGGAGAAAGCCCCAAACCCTCGGTGGGTGGAGTTTCATCACCGTTCTCTCAGCAACCCCACAAAACCCCATCCCTCCGGCGTGGAGTCCTCCAATCAGAAGCACGTACCCACTCCTCTGTGTTTCCGTGGGAACGGGATGACACAAGGTCCACTCCCAGAGGAAGACCAGCGTCCCCCCCTTCTTCATTCTCCTCGTCCAGTGATGTCGTTGTAGACTCTGATTCACAGGATAATGGGGTTGCGGAGGCGCTGAGGAGAGAGAGAGAGGGTAAGTGCCTCTATTACAGTGAGAAAGCCAGAACAGTCAAATGAAAAACCTGACTTTATAGAAACATAACACATGCACAAAACTCTATAATCTAGTCACACACACCATGTATAAAACCACAGGACTAATAAATATGCATAAAATGAACTAGGTTCACAAAAAGAGTCATTTGAAAGTGCAATGAGACTATTAGTGCTCTGCCACTGGCTCTCTGATGTTCTGGGTCTGATGGAAAAAATAAAAGCTTCCCTTCGTTCAAAGGGACTGTTTGTAGTGTGTTGCCATGGTAGCCACTTTGACTTGGGTCATGCAGCCCTGCCAGTGGCCGTTGCATATTTGAGTATTGCTTTGCATATTAGTAAAGAATGGGGGATTCCTTCAGTTCACTCAGAGGAACTAGAATTAGAGCTAGAGCTTTAGGCCTGTGCAGTAAAAGCCTACACGCTGTCCTGTCATTGAGCTATTTTTGTAATCTGTCATAAGACAGGGTGTGTTATGAAAAGGAAGCAGATGCTGTCTTATTGTATTTGACTCATCCGTTTGAGGACCAGAATTAAACACTAGAGCTCCAGACTCTGGCTGTTTGTTTATTCTGTTTTGTCTTAGAACCACATGCAGCAAATCCAGGGTTGACTCATCATTGTATACGGAATACTGTACCTGCATTATAGGGCAGAGTGTCACGTGTCAATTTTGAGTTGGAAGGTGGGAAGGTTGTAATTTTGGTATTTGAGGTAGCTTTAAAAGGGTAAAAAAACACCACTTTTATGTGACTCTTCCCTCATCACATCGTGGCCCATGAAGATGTCTCTGGTTTTATTATTTTTTATAAACTGAGGCTGTGGAGCTGAATTGAAGTGTTAGATTTAGAATGTCTTGTGAAAATTGTTTTTTTTCCATTTTTTTTTCTGGTTGTTTTGCATTAGGTTTGTCCCATTTTTAAGACAAAGTGATCTAATGAGCTATAAGAGGTTTAACAGAAGAGGTTCCTGTCAGGGACAGAGATTCAAAAAGCAGATAAAGACTGCTTCGGCTGGCATACAATACTCATCTGTAACGAAAACTACTGTAAATACTACAGTGCGACCAAAACTATGTCGGTTGTATGTTTGCATCGTCACTGTTGGAGCAAAACTTTGGTAATTAAACAGGAGAAGGAAAAAACATTATTAAGTTGTAATTGTAATCTCTATTTCTATTGGTCCGTTAATTATGAAATGAAACCAGTGAAAGGCTAAAATTTTCAAATTGTGCAAAAAAAAAAAAGTAAAAGACAACATAAATGGAGAAACAAGATTTTTCCGTGATAATGGTATTATAGGCATTTGCTAATAATATTGGTGATAATACACCAATAATTAGTATTTTTTTTTGGTCACAGCACTGCTGGAATTCGACTGATGGTTCACAAAACTGGGCAGCTCAATGTGTATTACTCTCTGTTTAAATATATGACAGCAATACAGGCTGAACTAAATCTTCGGAAGTATTAGTAAGTATTACAAAAAATATAAAATGCATCCAAACCTACCGTTTAGCACAAAAATAACACAAAAAAATATATAGAGAACTAATGAAAAATGAGGACAATAAAAGGTGAGTGCAAAGCATTTTGGGTAGCTCTAACCATAGTGCATATACTATTTGAGTTTCTGTTGTTCATTTGAGTTTAAGAAGTGAGATAATTGAGAACTGACTGATAAAACTAAAACCACTGGAATATAAAATTAAAATCTAAAATGTAAATATAAAAGTGTGTTGGCTGATTATCGGTTATTGTAATTTTTAGCCTCCTAAAATCAGTTTTGGCCACAAAACGTTTGTATCAGTCAGTCTACAGTGAACATAATATGGTTCTCAGTCTTTGAGTTGTAATTCATTCCTGTAGTTCTATTTTATTCAGTAGTTGTTGGTTTTATTATGGAAAGAGGTCTCTGTGTGTGTCTGTTTTATGGCTGCAAGAGCTTTAATGTATGTTTGAGAGAGGAACGTGTGTGCGTGTATGTACACAGTAGAGTTTGTTTAGTGCTGTATGAGGGATCTGAATGCTCGTCATTGTGTCGGGCTATGTGTAGTCACTGCTGAGGTAATCTGCTATTGTCCTCTTTCACTGACACATGCTGTGTTCCCGGAACACTCTATGGGATATTACAGCGCAGTATAGGAATAAATCATTTGGCTTTCCAATGCAAGACTATATTTGATTGTTAAACTTAAATTAAGCATATCTGCGTTTGACTGTTAAACTCAGATTTCACTGCTAAAATGTCTTATAAATAATTAAATATTCATGACTTTCACATGATGCATTAAGTAGGGCCTGATTAATATGAAAATTTTGTGGCCAGTACTGAATTTAGGAGGATAAAAATTCTGATAACTAATAATTTTAAAGTTATATTTTGGTGTTATACTCCAGTAGTTTTAGATAAATTCATTAGTTTTTTGTTGGTTCTCAATTGTTGACCCCAGGTAAAACAACAGTAACGTACAGTCTTAAATAATATAAATATTGTAGAACTGGGGTGGTACTAGATTTGTTTTCAGTTTCGGTTTCTGTTTATCACCTCCTATATTTTATTACTTCTCTTAATGAAATTTTTTTTGTCACCTCATGACATTTTATTCTCATGCGAAAAGTTAGGTTTGGATACATTGAATGTGTTAAATATAACAAGAATAGGCTGTTCTTGGTGAGAGATGAAAGAAAACGTACCTCAAAGCCCTTTGCAAACCGTTTCGCACTTCGTTTTTACGAAATGTCATTCAACTCTGATACCGTAGCAAACTGGTGCACAACGTTCTGAGATTGAATGTGCCTGGTGCTGCCCTGACCCCCCCCCAAAAAAAAAGTTGCAGTTTTTCACTGATACTGATAAAATTGCAGGTTGTCAGTTCTTTTTTTATTATTATTATTATTGGCCAATTAATGGCTAACAATCTGGATTAATGTTAAGATAGAAATTATTACAAATACTCATTACTAAAATATTTTGGGAAGTTTATACACAACCTCTCTAGGAAAGTTTTGTAGTTTTATATCTGTATCTCAACATTTTCTCTCTCCCAGATCTGTGTGTGCGTGTCTCTGGGCTGCAGAAAGAGCTGCAGGTGGAAAAGGAGCGCTGTAGGGAGACTGAGTCTCGTCTTGCTCAGACACAGAAAGAGCTCAGCATGAAAGAGCAGAATGTTACTCGCTCCAGAGACGAGTTGGCCCGTGCACAAACGCGCGTCACACAGGAAGGGGACCGGGTGAGCATGCACGTGCACACAGACACACACAGAGGGAATGAAATGTGTTATTCATTAGCTGGTTAACTCTTAAATGCTGTGACCAAAAAAGAGTCTTTTCATCTTTTCTGCCTTTTCATTTATTTTGTCCTTTAATAATGTGACTTCTCAGTGCTGTTATCACATTTGTTCGTCTCACAAACTGTCATTTTGAGCAATAAAATTATTTATTTATTTATTTATTTTTTTAGTAGTGCTTTCAGATATTGTACTCTAATAATTAAAACGTAAACATTAATATATTGCATAACATACACACATTTTTAGGCACTCCTTATTTTTGCTGTATTAAAAATGCATTGAATTGAGGCACCGTTGTATTGAATCAAATTCAGGATCTTAATAATTGATACATCCCTAGTAATATATTATAGACAATAAGTGTATGTATGTGTGCAGGCCCAGGCAGCTGAACAGCGTGTGAAGCAGCTGCAGGAGGAGTTAAAGTGTCAGAGGCAGAACGCTGAGACCAGCCGCTGCAATGCTGAGCAGCGCAGGAAAGACATGGAGAGAGAGCACCAGAAAGTGAGTAATGCTTTGTGTGCATTAAACATGCATCCCTCATACTAGCTATCATATCAAAGCCTACACCATTTACACCAGCTGCCACTTCCATTGTGTGAACATTTCATGACAAATGGACCTATAGAGTTGGATTATTTGGCATAGAGAGTATGACATTGTTTGAACTAAAATCTTGTTACATTAAAGAGCCCATATGCTACAGTTTTCTGTAATTTAAGTTTTTCTCCTCAGGTCCACTTATTATGTTTGTGAGGTTTTATGTATGGAAAACGGTCATAATTAATTTTTAGATGACCATTCAACCTCTTTTTATCTTAGAATTAAACAGGCTGTTTTTGTGCCTTGAGGAATGATGTGTACATGACCTCTCTTCTCATTCAAAAGGCAGTCCAGGCTGAAACATTCCTTATGACTTCATTGTGAATGGGCCGGGCTAAACTACCAAATGCTGAATAGGATTATATATTTAAAACGCATTGGTTTTCGTGACAAAAACAGTTAAAAAGCAGTGAATTTTGCTAATTAGTTTCGATGTACGGACTGTATGGACTTGTTAGTAAACATTACATTTTTAAACTTCTTCAGTGTTCACATGCTACATCAAACTCTGTTCTGTGGGAGAAAAATTCAGTTTTCCATGATATGGGCCCTTTAATGTACATTAATGTTAAATACCTTTTCTATCACCTGTAAAAGAACCATTTCTTAGTTTTATGCCACCACTGAAAGTTTGTTAGTTTCCAAACTCCAGTTAGTCTTTTATCTCAGGATTATAAATGAATGGAATAATGGATGGGTGCATGGATGATTGGACAGATATGGATTTTAAATGTGTGGTGGTATTTGTAGGAGTTATTGGAACTGCAGAGAGAGAGGCAGTCTATGGAGAAGCAACATCAGCAGGAGAGCAACAGACTCAACCAGGAGATTCAGCAAGCAAGAACAGCACACAACACACTACAGGCGCAGCATGACAAGGTGTTCTGCACATACAAACACTACAAAACACGTTTGTAAGCTCATGTTGCCCAGACCCAGTATGACAAACACTCAGACACTCATGATGTAACATACTGCAGGCACAGCTGTCTCTGAGCGCTTCCTTAAACCCCTGTTGTATAACCCTCTTCTCTCTCCCTCCTCTCTCCCGTCCTCTTTTTTTCTCTTCTTTTCTCTTGTTTTCTCTGTATTCCAAAGGTTATTACACACAAATGTGACTTTGTGACTCTGTTTCCCTTTTCTTTTTCTGCTGACTGTTTCTTCTTTTTTGTTTTCGCTCTTTCTTCTTCCTTTCTAAGTAGTATAAAAGTTATTGCAAAGAGATGTCGATTTAATACAGTTTTATCTTGGCCGTTTGTGACAGTATGTTCCCTTTTCTTCTTTGTTCTCTGTTGCTTTCTGTTCTGTTCTCTCTTTCGCTCTGTCTCTCTTGGGAGTTTCAGTATGTATTCAACAGGTCAATGCTCTAATGTCACCTCTCTCCCTCTTTGGCCTCAGGGCTCCCCCCTGCTTTCTCACACTTCTTTCTGTCCCTGGGTCACTCTTTCTCTCTTTCTCGTTTTCCTTCTCTTCCTCTTGGCTTTCTGACAGAAGGCACTTGAGTCAAGGTCAGTGTTGTAATCTCTGTGTGAATTGATTAAACTAGTTATACATTCTCTCTCTCTCTCTCTCTCTCTCTCTCTCTCTCTCTCTCTCTCTCTCTCTCTCAGTAGTAATTATTTGGGGGTGTAGGCTGAGCTTGATGAAGGGGTCAGTAAGTGGAGATCCGGAGACATGCAGACTGCATGCCCAGCTGTCTGTTTGTATACTGCAGTTAAGAAAAAAAAATGTGTGTTATTTTTCATCCTGACGAGTGGGATAGTGTGTGTTTAACTCATCTGTCTTTGTTTGCTTAGCAGTAAAACAACACTCTCATGTCGTTAACACTGCTAGCCTGTGGGCAAATGGCACCGAGGCCTGGGCCTGTAGCTTTCTCAGGAGAAAGTGGATATGAATAGCGTTTGACCCCGACTGACAATAACTAGTCAGAACAGTGCACTGTTTATATTGTGCTTGTACATGTGGATATCTAATCTAATCTAATTCAAACCGATTAACTGATTAAACTCTTACACGCATGTTATGAATTCATAGTACCGCTAAGACTTGTGTGGTTATAAGCCACTATTTCAGTCATGTGGTAAATATGTCAGTCAAACGTGGTGATCAGTCGTGCCCCGTGCTCTGTGCTGGTGTTGTGTTAACTAAAACAAGTGACCTAAAAAGAAGTATTGAACAAGGGCTTTTAAAACAGGAGAATCAAACTGTTAATTTAGCTTTGCATATTCTAGACTATTATAGTGGATTGTCGTACTATAACTGTGTGCAAGTGTTTGATTTATTAGTGTTTTGGCAGTCGGCTGCACAGTCTTATTGTTATTTTAGCTCGGAATATTTAAATAAGAGTGATGAATTGTCCTGTTTTTCAAAATTGGGCGGTCAGTAAGTTGTTTAACTGGAAATGTTTTCTGTGTGTGTTAATATTTGAATTTCATCACTTGGAATGCATGGTTTGGCACGTGGTCATAATTCATACTGTTTGGTTTGTACTAATGTATGTTTGTGAAGCTTCTTGAATCATGAACCATGGCACTGAATCCATAAATGATGTTTATCATTTTGTATTTTATATATATCAGAAGTACAGTTTGAACAGGAAGTTTTACATGAGAGGTTATATAATTTTACCACAGGGAGTTTTATGATGATTATGACCAGTTCACTCTGGATAAGCTGTCTCCTTATAAATTAGAGAGGAGAGTGGCTACTTAATTTACGTATTGCTGTTACACCAAAAAAGTTCCATATTAAGTATATTGGGCTGCTCACAAGCAGAAAATATGTCCAAGCAGTTAATGTAGTATTTTACCCTTAACCATCTACCTAGCTGCCTTAATTGAATGTACGGTGTGCTAAGCCTTGTTATTAGCTTGATAGTTTGCAGACCACAGTCAACATCACCATGTTAAAAATGACATTGAAAAAATCAATGTAAAAATTTTTGAGGTAGGACAATACATATTGGTGCCTCCATATGCCAAAACTTCTTTTCCACAGGATACAATGGAATCTTTACTGACATGGCAGTTCGTATGGGATTAATATAACCTACATAGGGCTCAGCAGTATGACACTAGTCATCGTTTTTGTGATAAAGTACTTTGTTTAAAGTGTTTAAAATACCCAAATGCATTTTTGATTGCAAAGAGAACATAACTATTAAATTGGATGGGATTAAATTTGCTGAGAAACACTGGCAATAATTGTATTACCCCACCTCCCTATGTAAAACTAATCCTGTCTGAATAGTACTATACATTAGAGTTATGTCTTGCCTTTCTACTTCAGCATGGATGTACCATATTTGCTGTGACATGGAATTGTTTCACTACAGAGCACGTGATGGCCAAGTTCTTCATGAATAATTTGTTGGAATGAGCTGTTTTTTGCCACGCCTGTCCTCCAGCATTAGTCTTTATTCTGTTCCTTCTTTGTTTCTCCTTGTTCCCTTTACTCACCCTTTTCCACTGTCCTCTTTTTCTACTCCCCCTTTTCCCTACTTGCTTTATTTTCCTCTTCCTTCTTTCACTCTCCTTGTGTTCAGTCAGCTCATTCTATGTGTGTTTGGGTCTCTGTGTGTCTCTTTTCAGCTGGCTCTGCAGAAGCAGGCGGTGGAAAGGGATCTGGAGGGAGTGCAGGCCAAGCTAAAGAGCACACAGGCTGATCTCACTGAAAGTCAGAAGAGGGAGACTCAGACACTGGCAAAACTCACGGTACGCCATCACCCTGTATACACACACAAACACAAATAAGTGTGTTTTCATACAATGTCAGGACATGGTGTCATATGTACAGTAGGTGCCATATTTACTTTACATATGTAACTACCTATATATAATGATAATGATAATTTTCTAGTCTAGCCATAATCTCAGTAACAAAATACAAGAATATTTTGCCTTTTCAGTTTTACAAAATGAAACATGAAAGTTTTGTTTAAAGCAGTTTACAAAATCAGCATGATTTTGTTGGGGCTGACATCATTATTTACCTCTGTTTCTCTCTGGTTTTCTGGTTTTCCCTGAGACGTCAGAGCTATTTTGTTCAGGAAATTTACAAAAACGCGTGCACACACACACATCCACATACGCCCACATACCCACATGCAAGCTGTGCAGTATACACATGCTGGCGAGTTTTTTTATTGCCACAATAAAAATTGGGTGGGACAGAGCGAAATGGCAGTTGATCAGTCAGAAGAGCACCCCAGATCTGATTAAACATTGCCATGGCAACTTTAATTTGCCCTGTCAAAAACATTTTCCTCACTTTACAGAAATGGAGTTTAATGTGTGCAAACATTGTGTCAAAATATACTTTTCACTCCCCAGTCAATATGGTCCACATAAGGAAACTAAGCTGCAAAAACAGCTTATTTTGAATTAATATATATATATATATATATATATAACCAATATATTTACATATTTCCACCCATTCAGTTCATAGCAGTTTAGCCCCGCCCATTCACACTGAAGTTGTAAAGAGTGTTTCAGTACTTTTTAGAATGAAGCCCAATCCAGGGCAGCCAACCAGAAACAAAGGTCATTTACAGATTGTCATCCAAAAAAATCTCCATTTCTTTGATTTTTTTAATTTATTTATTTATTTATTTTCCTACATCTTTACATTATGTGAAAAAATTATAATGAATGGACTGAGAGAAATGCTGCAAAATTACTTGGGAAAGGGGGGGATTCTTTACATTAACTTGTATTACAGTAAAGAACGTTTTTGACTTCTGTAAAGTTGCTGTTTTGGACAGCCATGATGTATCAGTCTTAAAAAGTGCAGTAACAAGAACAGCCTGTTAACTTCTAAGGCAGGGGTACCCAAACCTTTTGTCCTAGAGGACCAAGATGCAATTTTTGTGGTGGACTGAGGAAGACAAAATCGTATACGAATAAAAAAGAGTTTTTAGAAATGTAAATGAAAAGATTACACTATATTTTGTTATTAAAAATACTATTTTATGAGGACAATAAGAATTTAAGTTATGTGTAGAATTAAAAAAATGTACTTACTCTCTCACTGAAAAGGTGTGTACGGTTAGAGTAACTGGTGGGGCTTCTAAAAGGCGCCATCAGTTGCCACAAGTGGTGCAGCTGTTTAACTGCCATTAATGACTCAGCAAAATAAGTCCTTAGGAGATAATGGCATTATATCTAGTGGCTTAACACTGTTGCAGTCTTTTTTTACTGTTGCTGAAGATATTAGGAGTGTATCTGCTGCAGTAGCTTCACAGCAAAATCCCCTATTACACGTTAACTCCTGCAGCATGGTCACCAATGAACATTGTAACTGTTAATTCAATACTGGAGATTTTGCACTGTGAATTATAAATGCAGAAACCCTGTGTGACTTATTGAATACTGAATGATACAGCAAACTCCTTAGGGCAGAAACTCAAGTTCATCATAGCAATGTAACAATGTTGTTGTTACAATACATAATTTTTTATTTATTTATTTTTTTTAAACAGTTGCATGAGCCTTGCCTCACCTGTTTTGCCAGCGTTGGTGTTTTTTGCCACTGTTAGAACATTCATATGATGTCTAGACACTGATTAATTATTTACTGTGACAGCAGGGCATACAGCGAAATACATTATTATTTAATGCCACAGATGATATTTTGCTGTTTTCCTGTATTGTATCACTGATCTTGGCCAGTAGGAGTCACTGAGGGAAAGTGAGACCCTCAGAGTGTCTCTGGAGCAGCTGAAGAAGAGGGAGAAAAGTCTGGAGGCAGAAGTGAAGAGGCTAACTGAAGAGTTAGCTGAAGCACTGAAGCTCATTAAGGAGTTGCAGGGTAAGGAAAGGAGGGAGAGTGGATTGTTAATGTGTTTGTGCCACGTGGATGTCTTTCATGTGCTTCTATCATCAGTATCATGTGTTTTTGCTTCCACCTGCTGGAACATATCAGATGGTACATTTTTTTTAAAAGTCTGATCTGTTTAAACTTTTGTTAAGAAGATAATGAATATAGAAAGGATATAAACTGATGTTTAATATATCTGTATTAGGGCTGTCATGATTATGTGATTAAACTTGATTACTCAATTAAAAAAAAATCATGAATTTAAAACATACATCCTCACTGGGTCAGCAGTGATAACAACAAGAAACAACAAGAAAAAATAGGTAGATAAACACAGTCCTTTTTAATCTTATTTTTATTTTATGCCAAAATATTCTGCCATTTTTTTCCTTTTTTGGCCAAAAATGAAAGTGCCATTTTTAACCGTTTTTAGCTGGAAACTTACAGTGGCTGAAATTTTGGTGCCTCTCTAAAAATAATAGATCACTTAATTACTGATTGTGACAACCCTATGCTGTGTATATATTACCTTGCGTTCTCACCATGTCTCTCACTCCTCTAATATTCAGCCCAGCTTGCAGCTCTTCCTCCACCATTGGTCTCTCATTCTTTTACTCCTGTGGCTGGAGATAGCTTAACTCCTGTTCTCTCCGTCCACCATGATCGCTCTCCTCCTCCTCAGTACTCAACCCAGAAGAAGAGAGCTCCAAAACCCGGAAGACCAAGAGAGATTGACAGACCAGGGATATTAACATATCCACCCGACAGAGAACCTGGTGAAGGTATTGAGTCGGAACATGTCAGCGAATTTGGATCTGGAGACTCTGTGACACTAAGCATCAAAGAGCATGAAGGGAGTCAGCACAGAGCAGGAAGGCCTGGTGAAGTTGACATGGACAGCTCTATTACCGAACAAGACACAGGGATAGAAGATACGGACACAGACTCCTATATGTCTGATTCAACCAGTGAGCGTATGTTTAAAGATGAAGGTTTTCCACAGACAGACATTCATCGTGACCCTGGAACCAAAAACTCAACCTCTTCCCATCAGGGACAGAAACAGGATTCCTGTTCTATAAAGGAGTTAAAGAAAGAGAATGCTGCTCTGCGGGATGAGCTCAGGGACACCAAGCATGAGCTGGAGCGACGTCTGGACGATCTTGAGACTCAGAGGCGTGCAGAAACCGAGGCCAGGACCAAACTGAAGCAGCTGAGCAAGAAGTACTCAAGCCAGGCTGAGCAACATCGTGCCAAGGCCCAGGAGTTCAAAGAGAAAGGCAGCAAACTGGAAGCCCAGCTGGAACAGGAGAGGAAGGAGAGTGCTAGACTCAAGGAACTGGTAGCTACTTTGGAGAAGGAGGCTGTAAGAAGACAGGAGGAGGGTGAGAGAGAAGAGGAAGAGAGCAAAGAGGAGAACATCAAGCTCAAAGAGACCTTGGCTGAGATGGAAAGCAAGGAAGAACAGCTTGAAGAAGAAAAGGAGAAAATGCAAAAGGAACTTGAGAAGCTTCAGTCTGAGCTTTTGCAGGAGCGAGAGGAGAGAGCGAGGGAGAGGGAGGAGGAGAAGAAACGACTCAAGAACAATGAACTGGAAGGTCTAAAGATTGCAGAACTTCAAGCAGAGTTAGACCGACTACAAAGGTCCGCTGGCCTGGAAGACAAAAATGTAAAAGACAACATGCCTTTAACCTATCTGCAACTTTGGAAACCAGTCAAATGCCACAGATTACGTTACTGCAGTCGTTGAAAATAACGTAATTTCATCTCCTGATGCTTTTTCCTTCTGTGAGTCTGTGAACCTTCAGAACACCCTGCTCTCCAAGGAAACAAGAATAACGTCCCTGATAACAGAATATGGCACTCGGACAAAATCTGCAGATCACTCGCAACAGAATACAGAGAGCAGTACGTCTGACAGAAGTCTTGAAGGCCAAGAACAAAACCAAGAAGGCACTGACTTGGATAATATTACCATTTTGGTCTTGGAGGTGGAACATTTACGAGTACAGAGAGACAGGGAAGCAGAGAGGGCAAAAAAGTCCCAGAAAAAGCTGGAGGTTCTTCAGAACCAGGTGACAAGTCAGACCCAGCAGCTAACACTAGCTTTTGAGAAGCAGAGCAAGCACATTCAAGATCTCTTGAGGGAACTTCAAGAAAGAGATGATGCCCTCCAGAGGCAAGGAGAGGAGCTGCGAAGCTACAAAGAAGAGATTGCCTCTCTCAAAGCAAATATACACATGGGGGACATGGAGAAGTCAAACACTGAACAATCTGCAGAGGCCTTTGAGGAGTCAAGCTGTGATTTAGTTTCTAGCAGTCCCACTGCAGATACCCTAGAAATGGTCAAAGAAGAGGCTTCTCGCACTATGAAAGACAAACCACTACAGTCTGATTCACAGTCCTTTACACATGTAGAGGACAGGGAGGGTCAACCTTCCAGTAAAAATGCTGAACTGGATAAATCACATATGAGTGAGGTGACAAACACCAAGGAACTGATGTCACTACCCTGCAGAGACTGTGCCTGCCCCATTGAAAACACTAAAGCAAGTGAACCACTGGAAGTACCAACTGCTGCTCAGCAAGGCAGAGGTCCTGTGGTTGAGAATAACACAGATAATGCAGAGAGTTACACTACGAGTTCCAGCAAGACAAGGGAACAATCTTATATTTCCGAGTTCCCACAGAGCCTAACTGAATACCCCACAGATGACGTCAGGAAGTTGAAGAGGGTAATAAATGAATTGCATGAAGCACAGAACGAGCTGTCCCTCTTGAAAGCTAAGCATGACCAGCTGACATTGCAGCTGCAAGAAGTGTCCAAGGAGGATTTTCTGTTCCTCAAGCAAGAGAATGAACAGCTGAAATTAAAACTGGAATTAAAAGACAAAGAAACATGTGCATCACAAAAAACTCTGCTTACACAAAATGAGTCCTCACATTTGACAAACACTAAAAGCAGAGGATCTAGCAGCTGTAAATCAGGATGAACACCATGCTGGCAGTTCCTCTAGGCTGAAGGAGGCAATGGGACTTGGTGGGCGTTCTGGAGATGACAGCAGGGAGAAAGGTGAAGAGAAAAGTGGAGGGAGTGAAGATGAGACAGCCCAGACTCACTCTCTTCAGGAACAGGTATTTATTTTCTGCAGAGTCTGTTCTTCTGCATATTGCAAATCTAATCCTTTGCTTCCCCCCTCACATTCTCGAAGGGACATATTCCTGCGCACTTCAGCAGTTTTCCTGCTTTAGTGTGCCTCTTTTAATCCATCAGATAATTATGAAGCCCATAGTTACTGTGATGGGATGGGCTGAGCCAGCGCAAACCAGTGATGGCTTACAATCAAAGTAATTGCAGTCCCAGATACAATTGCTGCATCATTTTTGCAGAACTGTCTAACAGTCTCACCTAAATAATTGGATATTCAGTATTTGTGTATATGTGCATCTGTATATAGCACAGTTCAACAATGAGAATTAAGCAGAGTATCTGGATAGTTAGCACTTATTAACTAAGAAAAACTAGCATTTGTAGTGATGTTATAATTTTATGTCAATGTATTCATTTGTCCATTTCTAAGCGTCTTCTATTATCCTATTTCCTATATTTGTAGTGATCGTCCAGTATCTGTTTTGCCTAAGCAATCCTTCATTGAATTAAATCAGATGTACTAGTGATGGACTTTTAATAAATCTGTGTGATGGCTGGGGGCTCCAAGGAGAACTAAACTTTGCTCTATAAACTAGCCATCAAGATATCAGCTGCTTTTTTTCAAAATACATAATAATAAGTTTTTGTTGCTGTTTACTCTATTTAGGCTGACGTTTATCTATATGATATTGGTGCTTTTGCAAGCAAAAACACATTTATTGCCAAGATAAGGAAATATGGTATGTTGCATAGTTACATATGTAGTGCTGTGGCCCATCAGGAGTGAAAATTACTGAGCAGTTCTGATTCTTTGCCAGTTTACTGACTGAGTTGGTGTAAATCAGTCTTAATAAAAAAAAGTTAAGCTGTTCAGCGTTCCTAGTATTGAGAAGTCTGAAAAAATTTATATTTTGTGCATATTGCCCTTTCCTTGAAGAGGGTGTTTCATTTCCATTCTCCTTCTCCTCTCTCAGGTTCAGGCCCTACAGTCTCAGCTCCAGCTCCTCTCTGAGCAGAACAGAGAGCAAGCTGAAGAGCTGAAGCTCTGGAGACTCTCTGCCTCATCGTTGGGGGAAACCATGGATGACCAAGGCAACGGTAGCCCCATAATGCTTGTGCGAGAGGACCAGCTAGTCCTCTCGTGCAGCCCCACTGCTCTACATATGTACAGCCAGCAGAGCAGGTACCCATTCAGTCCAAGAATTTGAGTGGCATTTGTTATGGATAAAAGCACAGTAAAAGTGAGCCTCTGATGTACAGTGTGTGTATTTAGGACATATATTTATACGTTAGCTGTAGGGCACTTGAAGTGATTAGCGGGGTGTTGGGACAGTAAACACAGGTGCAGGGTCGAGGGTTTATGTTGTGCCGTAGGTGCATTGTCTTTCTTTCTTTCATATTTGTCTGTACTGTCTGTTCCAGAAGCATTGGGGAGTATAGAGATCTTTCTCAGCCTAAAGGTTTTTCTGGCCTTGAGACTGGACAGGATGAAAGAGATAAGCAGCTCTCATCACAGACCGCAGAAAAGTTTCAATCAGTGCTCAAAGCCGAGGTAAATTTTTGGAAAAAAATGGAAACATAGTTTTATGTGAAGAAGTCCAGGTTACTGTTCATTGCTCAGTTGCAAGATCACTATTTGTTTTTACAAAGGTATGCTACTTTGCAGTCTTTTGCTTTGAAGTAAAATTTTTATGTTTCTGAGCCAAACCAATGATGCAGCATGTAATTAGAGTTTCAGTAGACATTTTTAACACAGAAAATGTTTAAAATAGAATTAAATCTTCAACTCGGAATCGAAAATTATATTGAATCTGAAAATATTCGCATCATTTCATCCCTGCTGTTGTGTGGGGATTGACTTATTATTTTTATAACTTGAGGGTTTATTTTACTTATTTGGTTAATGTATTTTTTTGATGTGAAGCACCTCATGGAACTGGCTACTTAGTCACATTTAGCAGGCTAAAAATTATCCACAAGGTGGTGCCATTAGCAGTCAAATAGCTTTTGATGCTTCATCAGAGCAGTGCTTCACCTCACTGACGCTGTGTGTCCTTGTTTCCTCAGGAATTGATTGCAGACTATGACAGTACAACGATCAAAGTCGATGATCAACATAAAATGGAGACCGTAGCCGTGGATATTTATAGCACAATTCCAGTGTTATCTTCTAGAATGGATAAATCTGGGGACAAGCTTGATTCAGCTCATCCTGTCAAATCAAGAGGACCACGAGAGGATGCTACAGAAGCTGTCTTAGTCAGCCTTGAGGAACAGTCAGATGAAAACACTTTCACAACAAAAGTCCAAGAGGATTGTTCAGCTACATCCAAATCTGAGACTAAAGCAATTGATCCAAAGCTAAACACAATGCTGTCAGACTTGAGTGATTCACTGAAGCCTTGCCTCAGCCATGATGAGGGAGTTACACTTACACAACGCCTTGACACACTTGGAAGCACGACAGATCAGCAAAATGAGCACACTACTGCTGTTGGGAGACAGACTGATAACTCTGCACAGAGGGAGGATGATGTTGTAATGAAGTTTCTTGCTACAGATCAAGGTTTAAGATCAGAGGCTGTCAAGGTCACAGGCAGTGCAGACCATGCAGGCACCAAAGAAGTGAAGAGTGTGTCCACTCAGACAGAAGAGTGCAGTGAGAGGGAAGTAGAGGAGGTTGGAAGGTCCATTGACCCTCAGGAGAGAGCGATCCTAACACACGCCAGCACTCAGACCCAGGTCGAAGAGGTAAAACAGCCTGAGGCAGAGGATTTTGAATCAGTTGACTCCCCTTCCTCCTCTCCTGTCCCACCACCAGAGACAGAGAAGCTCCTGTTTTCTGGTGCCTTCCCCATCCCAGCTAATCCAGCTCATCTAGCCGAGCGCATCCGACGCAACCGCAGCCGCATGTCTGCAGCGTATGACGACACAGAGTATGAACCCTATGGCCTGCCTGAGGTCGTCATGAAAGGTTGGCGTTACACTATTTCCCTCTTCAATTCAAACATAATTGATCAGCCAAGACATATCTGAAGTGTGGTTCTATAAAGGCCTGTCATGATTTACATAATTGCCTAATAGCAGTTATGTGAGCTGATAAGTTACTTGAGCTGATCACAATTATTTTCCACAGTTGTTAGCCTTCACATTGTTAATTTGATAACGGCTTTAGAAGGCGGCAGTGAGTCATGTTTGTTTGAGCTTTAGCTGTGTCTGTCGTCACGTAGGAGTGACTAATGTAGCTAACAAGTACAAACTGTTGTCCCACCATTTGGAACTGGACTGTCACCTCATTATTTTCTTTGCTGGGGTGGAGCAAAAATCAGGCAAGTATGGGTGGTTAAGATTAGGGGTGGGCAGTATGTTGTTTTATCATTAATGTGATCAATTATGTCACAATATGCTTTTCTGAGCATATCATATACATCATCGGTACTTGAAGAACATTCACCAACTGCATGTTTCATTACAAAGAGAACATAATTAGTCCTGCTTAACTGGATTTAGTACAGTGCGGTTTGTAAAAGATTGAATAAAATCATTGTAGTTATAGGTTTATTATTATGCTTGTAATATTTTTAAATGTGGCACTATACAGGTGTTGTCTATTCCAACTTATTAAATCTCTTATTAAATGAAATATTGTGATCCGTATTGTGTAAATGTCTTGAAGCATTTCTCCCCAATTTAGATGCATCCAATTCCACTCACTAGTTAGAACTCCCCCAGTCACACAATACTGTCAGCGCTAGGAGGGCGAAAGCTAGCAGGCTTCCTCCGAGACCTGTGAAGCGAGCCACCGCTTCTTTTCGAACTGCCACTAACACAGTGTCTTTTGACAGCTGAACACGCTCCAAGGAAACTTCCAGTTCTGTTACGTCAGCTAACAGACGCCTGTGCTGGCTAGCATCGCGCTAAGTGATAAGGGAGACATCCTGCCCACCCAGACAGCAGAGAGAAAGGGCAGTTGTGCTCTCTTGGAGTCCTGGCCACGGATGGCTGTAGCATCACCAGGGATCGAACTCACGATCTCCTGATGATAGGGCCAACAATTAAACGGTTGCGCCAATCAGGAAACACGTTATAATATTTTTAACTAGTTTGCCTGCGAGTGACAAGCAACATAGCAGTATGTTGACTGAGGAGCAGTTCCTAGTTTTTTTCAGAAAGATATTACGACTCCCTCTTGTTTTCTGTTGGCTTCTTGTTCTGAGGTTCACAAATTTAAAGGGTTCAAATTCATCTAGATTACATGCGTCAGGTTCCAGTACTCACAGACTTCAGAAAACTGCCTCATTAAACACACCTGATTCAGCTCATCACCTTATTAGCAAGGCCTTCATGAACTGCAGTAGATGAGAGTAAATGCAAATCTCTGCAGCAGTTTGGCCCGGAAGGTCCTCAGTTTGACATGTCTAATGTAGATGAAATTAGTGGGAAGTGAACTTATCTGCTAGTAAAGTGTTCTGTACAGTTCAGTTGAATTGGCTTTTTTGCCAGACAAATCATACTCACATTTGGTGAAGCTGCAGCTTAATTCATCACACGCTTGCTCACATGTACATATGTGGTTTCTGACACTGTGAGCTTGTTTATACCTTACCTGTGGTTCATGTCCAGATTGTATCTGAATGTGCTTTGGTCAGATTCCATTAACACTTCACTTTAGCGCTTCACTAGCCAAGTGAGATCCAATATGATTTTCCCTCATAAAAGCACATCAGCTCATGCACGTTTCAGTTTTATTTATGTTAACCTGCTGTAACCTGTGTGGTTTCTCCCCTGTTACTACCAGTGTATTAAAAGCTGTCAAATAACAGAAGAAACCATCCAACAAGAATAGTCTGCATTGTAGGTGTCGTTTTACTGCTGCTTTCTGCAGTGGTCAGTGCTGTTACTGTCCAGAGGACTATTTAGACACGAGAGAAGTCAAGACTTAATTGTATGCGGATATAAAAAATGCATCACCTTTATATGTCTCTGTTTCTCTCTGCAGGTTTTGCTGATATACCTAGTGGCCCAGCTTGTCCATACGTTTTGCGCAGAGGGCTTCTGGGGACTGATGCTCTGCCTGTTTCACTCAGAGAGCCACTCAGAGAAGCAGAGGAAGATATTGACCCATAACAGTCTAACACTGCCTCTGGTTAGTACTTTCATCTAAGCAGAAGCTTCATATCTTTCTATGGGTGTTCCATTTTTCTGTACAACAAACATTTACTTAATTTGGTTGCCTTTATTTGGATCAAATCAAATTTGAATCATTTTACGTATGTTTAGATATTTTGACATTTACGTGTTTAATTTGCCTTATTGCAGGTTTGTAGGGAAAGATGTATTTGAAGCTGCCTATCTCATCTTGAATGTTAATAGCCTCTACCCCCACCCCCACACCCCCTGAAGACTCAGTAGTGAATGCTAGCTTTTTTGAGTTTTGGATTAATGAATTTCAGCTTTTGGGAGAATAATAACATGTAGGTGTTCTATATGCTCACAAAAGCAATGCCTTATTATTTTGTGCAAATATGTTTACAGGGACTTGTGACGTATGCTAGTTTTATTTTTAAAAACTTGACCTTTGTGAATATCCTTATTTGTAGGTTTTGTTAATAAGAGTTTCTTTTATGTTGCTGTAGATTGATTGCTGTGAATATTGTAGAATAAGAACTTTGGGTGTGTGTGTGTGTGTATCTGTGTGAGTGTGGAGTATGACTCAGACCAACCTGAGTCTGTTTCCGCTCCTTGTATGGTGTTGAAGTGCATATACACACTCTTGTCTGGCTGCTCTACAGTGCCTGGTTGAGCTTATTTCAACAAGACTTTTGTGTAGTTCACTTTTCATGGAAAAGTTTTGAATTGTAGCTTTTTTTTTCCCCCTAAATTAATATATTGAATATTGAACCTTTTTTGTTCAGTTGTAGCATGTGTACATTGTTAATATTTTTGTTTCATATCAAACAAGGAGGGTTTGCAGTGCTGTATGCTTGTTTTTATTTTCAGATTTTCTGTTAATTTCTTTAATATTTAAAAGTTTCTTGACTTGTTTGAAGTTTCATTTTCTCCCCTCCACTGCCTTGAGTTGTACAAGTTTAAGCTAACTCTAATAAACTCTGTGAAGTGACCTTGAAATTGCAACTTGTGTGAAGGTTTTTTCCTTGTCCTGCTTATGTTATATCACCTAAATTAATACATGTTAACAGTTCAAGCAGCTCTTTGTGCTCACATAACACTGATGCAATTGATGCAGGTTGTTTTGTTTTTAGGAACTAGCGAAAATAATTAAATTGTAGTGACAGGTAGCTTCTCTTTGGGACGCCCAGTATACAATACGTGTATGGATACATTTACCAAAACCATTGTAGCCGTATAGAAGATAATTAAGCTGTCAGCACACATTCAGTACTACACTGCTTTTGGAAAAACAGACCCAGATCCTGTTTATTTCACTTGTTAACATTATTATTTGTCTTAACTGGATCAGGAATTAAAGGTGTCTGAATGCTGGAAAGAATGGTTTTGGCATCTTGTGTTGGCACGGAGGCCTGTTTATACAGTGCGGCTTCGAGACTGAGATACAGATCTACCGCAGGTCCCTCGTGTGTGGGAGTTAACCAGAGCAGTCTCGCGCTGCGCTCCCGCATGTCAGCTGAAGTGCCGTTCTTTCCGTTCTACTACGCTAGAACCAATTCTTTTGTGTCAGATACTGAAGGCTTTGTGTAAATTAGTTTTTAGATCATTTTTTCAAATTCTCCTTTTAGTGTGCAAGATGGGTGAACACAAAAATTGTCCTAAAATAGAGAGAAATGTAAACGTGTACTTTTAACATAATCGAAAATAAGAAATTATAATGCGTTTTCTTCCACATCTTTGTATATTTAAACATGCATCAGGGAGTGTCTCTGAGATAGCTGAGTATTTTTGCTGAGTGTTAGGTGGAGGTGGTTCGAGGAGGAAGTGAAACGTTATATTATTGGTTAATATTATTATATATACCTCTGGTGCACAGTGATGTAACCAAAACTCAGAAGACATTTTTGAGATGAGCAAAAGTCATTGCACTTCAGCCAAAGCTAACAGGAAAAACAAAAATTTTGCTTTTTGATGAACTGTGCTTATGACCAGAGATATGGACTAACAGGGTAATAAAGGTAAAAAAATAAATCTGTTTTGAAGTAATTGATAATTACAAGTACAAAGTATCAAAATTAATTGTCCAACCATGCCTGGACATTTTCCTTTGGTCTCAATAAAGATTCAATGTTTAAAGCATCCAGAAGTCGTTGTCAATCATACAAAAGGTAACATATTGAATAATACTTCTGTGCAGCTATAGTGCATGTTTATTAATATTTTTGTTTTATGTGAAACACACAAGGATGCTGAGAGTTTTTTTTTTTTTTAAATTTCATTCCACTCTAGTGCTTTGAGTTGTATAGCGTGCATTAAATTTAATAAGGTCTGAGGAGTGATCTTGCAATTTATGTGAAGTTTTTACTTTCCTCCTTCTTAAAAGGAAATTTCTCAGAATTTCTGCATAATTCAACCATTAAGTTGTACACAAAAACATTCTAACAAAGTTTTTATATGAAATGGAGCACTGTATAAAAACAGACTCAGATTTTTTTTACAGTGGTGATAATAGGAACCAGTGGTCACAATGTCTGAAAAATCTATTTTGCCTTACAACACCCTGCCTGCACCTCTCCCCAGTGAATGGATTTTAAAAATGCATTTTGTCCAAAACCATATTTTAAAACTGTAATAAAAGGTCTGGGGCAGCGTGTTCATCATCGTGTAATAACTTTCTGTGAGGGAGCTTTTAAAGCTGTTAAACGCTCCGGACCTTAAGTTACTGTCACCACAACTGTGATTACTTCTGACTTGGCAAGCTTCTCTAGAACAGAGCGTTTTACATCAAACCAGTCTGAATGACAGTTTACATCTCAATGATTTAATTCAGAGATATTTTGAAAAATGGGAGGAATTCCCCTTTAAGCATCTCTGTAGTTTGTCACTGGTCATATTAAGTGTCCAAAGTTAATGCATAAAAATACAAAGATCATACGTAAGGACACGCATGTTTAGGTTTCCTGGGTGCAAGTAAAAGAATCAGCATTTCACCATTGTTTCAAGAATTTTATTTTTTTTTTTTGTAGAAAGATGCCCATAGATGAAGTCTTTCTATGCAAAATCAACAGAACTTAGAGGCTAATTGTTTAAATGCCTATGTAGAACTTATGCATCCTGTATGGAACTTGTAATGCCTTCAAAGATGAACAAAATCCAGCGAGGAGAAGGTGAAGAACATGAGGCTAGAAATAGAGGGATGAGCAAACAGTGGGCAATGAAAGTGGTTTAGAAATATGAGATGGAGACAGATAAACATTTATTTATGTGCTACTCTACGTCCCTAAACTATCTTCCTCCTCCTCCTATCTCTCTTTCTCTCTCCCACCCTCCTCCAGCACATCTCTGATCTCTGTTCTGTCTGTTTTCTGTCTTATGTCCTCTGTTCTTTCTCCTGTTGTGCGCTGGCAGGCTGAGGTAAAGGCATGGGAATGGGGAAACACCAGGAGAGTGTTTGCACACACTCCTCTCATTTATTGCACAGAGGGAACTCCTGACTGTCACTTGCTGGATTCTCACGCTCTTGCATCTTTTCTCTTCACTGAGGTAAGAACGCTTGTGGCAAGGTGGCAACTTACCATCTCAATCAGAGTAGGATTTGTTTTTATTAAGATATGTATGCATGAGTTAGAAAGGTTAAAGTCAATGTGGCCCTCAGGTCATCTGCTTGTTCAAGTGTCTTAAATGGTACAGTGTTTTGTACTTGAAACTTCTTAACATTGAGAGTGGTTTGACATCTCAAACTCTGGGCTTATTATTTAGTCATAGGTCAAGACTTACTGAGCAACTACTATGAAATGACTGTGGAATTTAAGCAGGTATGAGTGAAGAACTGAAGTGGAGATCCATATATGGCTGGTTTTCCAGCCCCAGTTTAAGCCTAAACCTAGGCTGAAAATGGTAATTCTCCACTGACACTGAAATTTAGTCCAAGATTAGGCTTGATACATGTCTGAGAGACTGTCAGACTTTGTAAGATCAGTCATTGGTGTGTTTAAATGGCAAAATGTTCTTTTCCCAAAGTTCTTAAAATAAGCCTGATCTGTAGTTACTACGGTACTACTGAAGTACTCTGTGGTTTGGCAGTGATTGCACAAATTCTGAACACTACTTTACCATCTCATGTCTTTTACATATTCTGTGAATTTCAGTAAGCATTCCCTTGTAATACATGAATAATTTCTGTTGTGGCTGTTTATACTTTGGCAACCAAATTTTAACCCTTAAATTCTGAGGCGTATTACTTTATAAGCCTTATTATTCAGTAATTGCATGGCCAACGGTGCAAAATGACTGAGCTATGTTATAGGAGTGAGGAAAGGAAACCTGGACATCCTGGTATTTGAGAGGTTAACTATCCTAAAATCTTTGAAGTTTGTTATATACAGCAAAAGTCAATTATAAGCTGAATATGAAAGCAATATTAAAAAAAAGCTTGTGCAGTCATAATGTAGGTGTTTTATTTAAAAGGTGAATTGCGTTGATTTTTCAAAATTTCTGCGTAATTCGCTTGTTGCAATGTAAACAGTCATTCAAAGTGGTAAGATGTGAAATGGTGCACTGTAAAGAAACTTACCAAGTTGGAAGTCACAGTGGTGTTGATAGGAACCATGGGCCACAATGTCTACAACAAAAATATAGCCATTTTATTTACTATCTAAAATGACAAGAATTTATATATATACACAACGTTGATGATTGTAAATCAGAAAAAATAAATTTCTTTGGAGTCTATTTCTCCTTAAAATGCTGAGTGCGTACCTCTCCACCATGAATGGATTTTAAAAAAATACATTTTACACCAAAACCTTATCTCAGAACAACTGTAACACAACCTATCAGGCATCAAGCGGTATATTTATAATCATTTAATGTAATAGCTTTCTGTGAGGGAGCTTTTAATGGCATGAAACGCTTCAGATATCTGGTTCCTATCACCACCACTGTGAACAATTCTAACTCTGCAAATATTATTAGAGTAGCACATCTCACATCATACCACTTGGAATGACTTTGTTTACATTTTAACCATTGAATTATGCAGAAATTTTGAAAGATCAGTGGAGTTCCCCCTTTGCTGCATTTTAATTGCTTTTCGTTATCAATTTAAGAACTAATCTGACCTCTTAACTTTAACAAATACTACTTTTGTGCAGTCTTCTCGTATTTAATGCAGTGTTCTCGCATCACTGCCGCATGTGAGCATGTGCCAGTGATGCTGAATGTCCTGCTGTGCATCAGGGCGCTGTCAGCAGGCTTTAGAACACTGTGTTTACACAGACCTCCACCACAGGCCCTGTTACTATGGCGTCATTTGTTGTGTTCTGATCTGTTATACTTATGATACTCTGTCTCGTGTCTGGTTCGCGCCGACATGTCTTCAATACGGAGCTGTTTAGCACATTTTTTGGCCACTGTGCTCCACAGGCCGGCGTAAGTTCCTGTAAAGGAGGCTGAATGCAAGGAAGAGTGAGCGAAGACACACTGTGATGGAGGAGGAAAAGACTACCTTTTGGGATGACAGCACAGTGTCATAGGTGACCTGTGCATTTTCACCTTTCTATTAGATTTCTTAGTGAACTGACCTACACTGCCTGTGAGCTTTTCAAAACGCTTTCTGAACAGCTGTATAGATATTGCTGTTTTTCTTTGTAAAACCTGCAAAACTGAAGGCACATCTGATGGAAGACGTAGGCTGCCTTGGGAATTATGGCATACTTCATTCATTTTAGCAGCACTCAAAGCTCTCAGGTGTTTAAACCATCTTTGGGAAAACAATTTCAAAATGTGCTTTTAACAACAGCTTGGGAAAGAAAACTGTCAAACCAAACCTAGCACCCTACTGAGGAAGACACTTTGATGAAGATAAAGCTCAGTTTTTCAAAGCTTTTCAAAGTAAATAGCTGTTTCTTAATAACCAAAGCTTTGCAGGTATTATATTTCTTGCTTATTTCAAAAGTAACAGTGAAAATTAGAGAAGCCAAGTTATTTCCAAACTTGACAGGCAGTGTACATGCGTATGTTTAGTCTTGACCTTGTTAAGCAGAAATGCCTAACAGTTAGCAGCCATATTTCCCCCGCAGACAGCAATTAGCAGCTACATTTCCCCTGCAGCTCGTTCATGTGGACATGACAGAGAAAACCCCCTGAATCAGAATCCCAGAGGAGTGCTGAAGAACCATGCGTTGCTCAACCCTGCTGACGATCCTGGCTGCTGTGCTGCTGTATCTGGTAATGGGGGCATTGGTGTTTGGTTGGCTGGAGACGCCCAGAGAAGAGCTGGCTTATGGGAAGCTTCTCAACTCTCGCCTTGCTTTTCTGCAAAACCACACCTGCGTCAGAGAGAGCAGCCTCACCAAGTTCACTCAGGTACATTTGTATGAGCAGGTAAAAATGAACATCCTAGAGTACCAGATTCTGTTACTGCCATATACCTTAGTAGCATATATACACATATGCTTTCATAAATATTCATATATACACATACAGATATATACATATTTGTATGGATAAATAATGACCATAAAGGGATGCACATGGTGAACAATAGATGGACTATGGCATTCAAACATTCTCCACACCATTATACCTCCGCCACTAGCTTGAACTGTTAATACAACGCAGGTTGGGTAAATCAATTCATATTCATATGATCATATATTCACCTGCTAATTTATTACACCACTCTAATACTGGATTGGATCCCTTTTGCTTTCAGAACAGCCTTAATTCTTTGCGCCATGGATTCCAAAGTTCAGGAAACATTCCTTCCGGTCCATGTTGACATAATTAAATCACTTAATTACTTCAGATTTGCCAGATGCCGGTTCATGTTGCAAATGTCCTACATTCTCTTCCACATCTCAAGGGTGCTCTAATGGATTCAAATCTGGTGTCTGGGGAGGCCTTTGAAGTACACTGAGCTCATTGTCATGTTCATGGAACTAGTTTGAGATGACTTGTGCTTTGTGATAACTTGCATTGTCTTGCTGAAAGTAGCCATTAGAAGATACATTATGGCCATAAAGGGATGCATATGGCATTCAAACTCCACACCATTACACCACCACCACCAGCTTGAACTGTTGACACAAGGCAAGTTGGGTAAATTGATTCATGCTGTTTAAACCAAATTCTGGCACTATTATTTTCATGTGGCTACAGACACTGAACTTCATCAAACAAGGCTATGTTTTGTTCCAGCTTTGAACTGTCCAGTTCCAGTGGCCTTATGCTGTTGTAGCCCATGCACCTCAATGTTAGACATGTTGTGCATTCAGAAATTCTGATGTTTGATATGAAAATTAACTGAAGCTTTTGACCCGTGTCTTCATGATTTCATGCATCGCCCTGAGCAGGTGTTTCTGATGAAGTGGCCGAGTGTATATGCATTATTTAAAGATCAGTTCTTGTAAATACGTTATGCAAGTGTGACAAGGTTTGAAGAACCTTGATATAATGTTATATGTCAAATAAAGGCTTTTACTGGAACCATCCCTCCAAGCCAATTATCACCTAGGAACCTTTACTTTTGTAATAGTTGTACACTGATCCCATGTTCCTTCGCATTTTGGTGTTTTAACAAACCCACTTCTATGTAGGAAGGGCTTGTTAATTAGCTAGTAGTTCAGTATCAGGTGTTTCACCAGGGAAAACACCAATTTGAGTGGTGAGGGTTACTCCAGGGCAGTGTACCACTCATATAGGGTATGCACAGAAGTACAGTGTCTAACATCTTATAATCCTCTGATATCTCTGCAGGAAGTAGTTAATGCCATTGAGGCTGGAGTAGATGCTAAAAGCACTGCTAATTTCACCAGCAGGTGGGATCTCTCCAATGCTTTCTTCTTCTGCGGGACTATCATCACCACCATTGGTGAGTGTCACAGTTTTGCCTCTCTGAAGATAGACTGGTCATCCCTCACTTTAGCAAGCGCAGTGCTGCGTTACTGTTGAACTACTAATCAAATGGTCATAATGGTCCGTTCTCTCCTGTGTGCACTGCTCAGGTTTTGGGAACCTCTCCCCTAAGACTGAGGGAGGCCAGTTGTTTTGTATATTCTATGCGCTGGTGGGGATCCCCATATTTGGAATCCTTTTAGCTGGAGTGGGGGATCACCTGGGAACCATACTCAGGAGGGCAGTAGCAAAGATAGAGGGTCTGTTCCTGGTGAGTGCTTTGAAGTAACACGCTGCTTTAAGGACCCTTTTATTTATGTTAAAGTCTACTGCACTCAAAAATAAGCGTTTTAAATGGTTAACTGGATGGCTTGTATGACTACATAAATGTGTGTCAAATGTGATACCACACAATATTATGGTTCAATATACTAGAATATGCTAATTAAAGGATTACCACATGGTGACAGGCTTGTTTAGCTACAGAACATGCCTAGTCTAACACAGCTAAACATATAGGTGCCAATGATATTGGGTCATTGGCCCCCCAAAACTGAAGATGGGGGGGGGTGAATTCCCCACCAACTCCTGCACAAAGGTTGAGAAAAGCTGTAGAACAGTCGCAAACAATTAAATTGCATTTAACAGTTAGCAAACAGTAATGATTTTGAGCATGCAAGGATGCTATGACAACCAGTAAGGCTGCTGTTTTCCACATACATGTATTTCACTCACTACTTGTCTGATAGTGAGTCTGTTGCCTCTTTTGTTAGGTAGTCTAGCAGGATGACAGGGATGAAGTGGGAAAAAGTAGGAGTAGTTTTGGGGGTAGTTTTAAGACCATTGTCTTGGCCAAAGCCATCAGTTGGGTGCTTTGTAGAGTATAAAATCAAGGATGTGTTTGGATAACAGCTATTTTTCCTGCTTTTCTCAAATAACTGCAGAAGAGGGTGAGCCCCACCAGCGTACGGGTCATATCTGCTGTGTTCTCCATTTTGATTGGTTGTTTGATCTTCATCGCCTTGCCCACCGTGGTGTTTCAGGAAGTGGAACAGTGGACTCTTCTGGAGGCAGGATACTTTGTAGTAATAACGCTGACAACAGTCGGCTTCGGCGATTATGTAGCAGGTATTCAATTACCTTGTTAATGTCATTAGAGGGGCAGGATATTGCATTTACATTGGGTTTGCGGGAAGTCTTGCAGATATTTTCTCCCGGCATACAGAGCATTCTCTAATTTAGCTAATTTCCCCTGCTGAAGAGGTTAATAACATTGAAGTTTTAACAAGCTGATTAAACATGCTTCAGTGAAAATTTATTTTTTCCAAGAATGTACATTTAGATATTAGAGTTAAGAATTTAGTTTCTAGTCCTGACAAAGTCAAATAGTTAGAATAGTTACTGAAAATTTCATTAGATACTTGAGCTCTGAAAGTTTTAGTTTGAAGTTTACATTTGGAATAAGCTCAGTGTGTCTGCCCCCAACTAGATAACCGTAGACAAGGCATCCCAATGTACAAGCCCCTGGTGTGGCTGTGGATTGTGTTTGGTTTGGCCTATTTCGCTTCCATCCTCACTATGATAGGCAACTGGCTCAGAGTGCTCTCCAAGAAAACCAGGGCAGAGGTGGGAATGTGTTTTTATTTGTATTTGCCTTTGCAAATAGTGTAACAGTATATTTAACATCATTCGACAGATTTATAACATACTTGATGTCTTACAGTAAATGTAGTGTCAATATTTACATACTTGCATATTTTTCCCATAAATGTTTTTCTATCCAAATTCTGATAAAGTAACAATTTAGTCAGCCCTAGATGACCCTTATCAGGATAAAAGTATGAATTTTAAGCATTTAATTTCAAAGTATTTAAAGCAAATAGTTCTCTGTGTAATTATTTCCATTTGCCCTTTATCTTTGTCCAAAGATGGAAGAGCTGAGAGCTCATGCCACAGATTGGACTCAGAATATCCAGAACATGTCCATGGACTTCCGCATCCCTGTCCCTCTGGACCTTAATGACCCCTTTCAGCTCCAGCGTAGACGCCGGAGGAAACGCCACCGTGGCGCCCACCGTAGGCACCCACGCTTGGCTGTGGATGGGCTTCCTCATGGGGTCTCCCTGGAGGCTGAGCCCATCAGGGAAAATGGGCATTTGTTTGTAAGCTGGCCTGGCTCCCGATATAACACTGCATCCGATACCAGGTGGGAGGGGGAGTCTCTTCACTTCTCTCTACATTTTGATGCACCATCCTAGTTATAAGAAGCTTAAACTTACCATTTTTAAAGTTATAATAACAAATGCTAAATTAAAGGAATAGTTAGAGATATTTAGAGATAGTTAGACACTTCATGCTTTAGAGTGTCCGTTTAAAGACAAGATAATAATAATGTTGTGATCTTTGTCTAGATTATATGCAAAGTACGAGATGAGGCCTGGATCAAGACTGACGTCAGGTCATGGGTCAAGGCCTGTCTCACAGTCTGAGCTGAGGTCCCAGTCCAAGCCTGCGTCAAGGTCTGCCTCCAGATCAGTTTCTGGGTCAGATTCCAGATCCGAGACACCATCAGAATCCTGGTCGGAATCAGACTGGAACTCGCAGGACTCCGGCTCTGCCTCCGGGTCCGAGGCTGCACAGAAAAGGCCGTTAAGTGAGAAGGACGTCCCTGTTGTCTTGGTTGCAAGTGGTTCAGCTCTTCCGCCTCCTTCTCCTTCTTCCCCATCTTCTCCTCCTCGCCCTTCTCTCCTGGACTTCTTTGGTGAGAACCTGGCTTACATTGATGAGTCTTCAGACACTTTGAGTGATCGCATCAAACCGACCGGAAGTGGATCAAACAGGCCTCGCAAACCCAAGCGGAGAAGCATGAGGAGGCAGCTTCCCTACAGGGGTCCTGCAGGAATACAGAGAGAGTGCAGCAGTGAACTTCAACCCCCATCACATCCTCCAACACCTCCACCACTCAAAGACTGATGCTGTGTCTTAAATCAAGCACTTCTGTAGTACACTATCTTTTTTTTAGTGCAAGTAGTGTGTTACACTGGAAAATTCAATGGGTTGTTAAGGGGCAGTTCCACCGATTTTTAAAAACTTCTCCATACTTCAGAGGTTAAGATGTAAATAAAGTCATTCAAAGTGGTTTGATCTGAAATGCTGCGTTCTAGAGAAACTTGCCAAGTCAGAATTGTTCATAGTGGTGGCGATAGGATCCGGACATCTAAAGTGTGTCACTCTAAAAACTACCTCACAAAATGTTATTACATGAAATGGCTATGAATATGCTGCCTGATGCCTGGGACATTGTTTCGCAATAGTTTTGAGATTTGTTTTTGGCATAAAACATATTTTTATAACCCGTTCATTGTGGTGAGGTACTTGCAGGGCATTGTAAGACAAAATAGGCCCCAAATCTTTTTTTTTTTCAAATTTACCATCACCAACATTACATATAAAAACATGTAGGCTCACTGGTCAGTTTGGATAGTAAATAAAATGGCTATATTTGCTTTGTAGACATCGCAATCTCTGGTTCCTATCACCATCATTGTAAAGAAATCTGAATCAGTAAGTTTCTCTACAATGAACCACTTCATATCAAACAACTCTAAATAACTTGATTTTAACTTAATTATGCAGAAATTTTGAAAAAATCTGTTGACTTCCCTTTCATTGCCCAGATCATGTACTAGAACCACAGAAAGATGAAATGTGTCTATTGTTGCACAATGTTTATAGTCAGCAGACCCAGGCTGCCATATGTAGTAGGCCATAACATTAGCAGGGTGACTGCTGCTACACTGTACATATGAGTTAAATGTCTTTGTCCTTCAACATTTTTTTATTTTAAAATTGTTGATTGTATGGAGACCAGACATGATTCAGTGACATGAGGTGGTAATTTATAATTACTGTTTAATGCAATCAGTTTGAGACAATAATACCCTACAAAAATCCAGGCCCTAGACAGTGAAGTACATAGTGTACAGTGTAAGAATATAGTGCACAGTGCCTGAATTGAGACTCAAGGTGATATTAAGCAAATTGGCCCCCAGGACTGTGGGAGCACTATATAGAAAAATAGAGTGGACATAAACCAATATGACTTAACCTACAACGAACAATTATGTTGATGAGATTACAGGTGTGAAGACTAAGTACTATCCTTGAAGGGACATTCCTGCCTAGTACTAGAGTTTAATATATGTTATTTATTGTGTTTTGCAGTGTTTTATGGTACAGAATTATCCCTCAGCCTCATCAATTTGACAGAATTCACAATCTTATATTACCATGTTTTCATTCAGCAGTGTCCCCTCATTACAATATCCAGCATGCATTACAAAAATACATCTATTGGGAATCACTGTAGTGTCAACCAGTCCTGAATCCTAGCCTAGCCACTGAGCTATAGGTGAATAAATACAACCAGACTAGAATGAATGTACCTCTTACCTCGGTCATCAAATAAAAAGAAATAGCAATTTGATATTCATTCAACACATACAGAATGCCACAATTTTTTAAAGTTTCCAGCAAGAGAAAATGAGCCAAACTGAGGTAAGATAACTAAATGGCCATGAAGCTACTTTGCTTATTTTACCTTTTAGCTTGTTGTTCTCCTGATTGGAGTCATTTCTGTCATTTCAGTATTTTACTCTCTCCATTGTAATTATGATTTGAAGACACATATGGCAAAAAATTTACATATATTTAAAAAAAAGTCCACCCCAAAAAATTGACCCAAAGCAATGCTAGCCTAGTTTTTCAAAAGTTTCTCCCAGAATGCCTCTGAGATATTTGCCGCTGTGAAGGCAATGCTGCATCGCACAATTTCCTGGAGAGTTTAGTGCCTTCCAAAAGAAAAGCTAACATCATATCGCTGTCCAGATGATAATGTTAATCAAACAGTCTGTAAACAGCCTGTAACCCAATGGTCCATTGAGGGTGTTTGAGTTAAAAAAGCCTACACAGTTAGTGAAACATACCATTTACAGAAGTCTTACATTTACCATGACACTTTCCACAACTTGTTTTAGTGAAGATATTCTTTTTACTTTTGTTAATGTATTGTTTAAAACAATTATGGTGTTTTGAGTGATTATGATATATTTTTGTGATTTTCTTATTTGCACTTCTTATTTGTCATATGTGACATGCATGTTGTTGTGGCACTTCCAGAATGAAGTTTCTGGATTGCTTCAGTTTGGACCTTTTACAAATGTTATCATTTTTTTTTTATTTTACTGTATTTTACTTCTTGATGTCGTGTGTGACGTACATTTGATGATTATATGAAAATCTATTAATGTAAAAGTTTGTTATTAATGGCTGCTGTATTTCTTCTTTGCCATGGTGTTCATGGCAGGGTCGGTTTTGGTGTGAAGATGAACAGATGGCGCCCTCTAAAGGCTGCTTTTCCATAAATTTCCCACCATTTCCCATTTTTCTATATTATTTTACTAAACATTGTCTTCTTCTTGTGATATTGAAGGGCTTGTACAGCCTGAGTGAAATGTATTAACTCTGTAGGTGAATGGTTGGCTGAGAAATGAATCACATACACATGCCCTCTGTCACCCACAGTAACCTGATTCTTTACATAACTCTCCATTTCCCAGAATAGGCCTCCATACGTCTACTCCAACCCCCGTTTTAGAGTATGTACACAAAACCTGAGATAGATCACAAACACAAACAACATGTCTATGGAAAAGTCCAAACAAATTGGAAAGCGCTGGCCAGATGAGCTTTTAAATGCCCAGGGTGGCAGATGAGAGTGAGAGAGAGAGAGAAACACGTTGCAGGCCAGAGGGAGACAGCTCCAGGAATGGCTTTTGTAAGGCCCTGGAAAGCTTGACTGCGGGGATAAGTGGCGGGTGTGCTTAGTGAAGGGGGTATTTAGAGGCAAGAGGACAAACACATGATGGTGGTTTAGTGAGGAGCCTCGCCACAAGGCCGGCAAAGCTCCCCTAATTTCTACCTCTGAGGGCCTACAGCTCAGCCCCACCTAACACTGCCTCTCTACACCCAGAGCACTGATGTCTGGGGGTGGACGCCTTTTTTCCCCATCCGTCTCACCCAGAAAATCAACCCTAATCTGCTTTTTTTTCCCTCTCTTCATTTTCTTTGTTTGTACACGCTGAAATTTCTCTGACTACGTTTTCTCTTCACACTTATGGACTATACAGAAAAACTACCAAATTTTTTTGAATGGCCTGATTTTTCTCTCAAAGCAAATACAGGTATATGTAGGGAAATATATAAAGGGATAATAGTTTTATATACACAAATGTTAGTTATTCTACTGAATTGGTTCAAAGTTGAAAACACATTGTGGACTTTTAACTAAAATCCTTTTCCTTTGAATGACTCTATACCTTAATATAAACAAATGATTGAATATTTCATTTTGTCACTACCACTACAATCATCATTTCTTTAAAACTTTACCAAATGTTTCAGTGGTGAATGTTTCGCTAGCGACAATTTTGGCTAATTTTGAGGATAACTCAAAAACACTAGCCAGTATGTGAATAGCAAACACAGCTTTGAACAGTGTACACATATAAAATCATAATATTATTCTAGAAAACATGAAAATGTGTTTCAGTAGTGACAATTCTTAATGTTCTTAATAGCATTTTTACTATTTTTTTTTAATTAAACTCATTATAAATCTAAATCTTCCAGCTTCACTTTAAAAGCAATTAAAAACTAAAACATTAAAAAAAAGTATTATATTCACAATTTGAAATTTAGGGGTTAGGGTTTGGGTTTGGAACAGCCACCAAAGTACTCGCTAACACTTTATTTGAAAGCTATCTACTTAGAGACTACATAACAGATGCATAAGCATTGAATAACATATTTATGAAGCAATATTTGAGTATTTATGACCAGCTTATGCTAGAAACCGCAAGATGACACAAGATGTTATAAGAAGTAAATGACTTTGCTTTGACATAAGGGACCTTAAACTAAAGTGACTGACATTTGTGCTATTTATAACACTATTTACTTCAGCTCATAATGACTCAAATATTGCTTTATAAATACATTATTCAATGCTTATGCATGTGTTATGATGTCCTTATGTAAGTAGTCTTCAAATAAAGTGTTACCAAGTACTCCTTAAATGCTTATTAATATCTCACATAATGCCTTTGTAACATTATCTCTGTAAATATTTAAGGTTTGAATACTTAATTTTTTTATTTTTTTATTTTTTTTACTGTGGGACTGCATGTTGATCTAATTTAATCTCTATAAATCTCCAAAATGGTAACTATGTGGAAAAAGTTCAGAAGTTCAGTACTACGCAGCTAGATAGCGCCTGTTTCTCCAAACTGTAGATCAAGCAACAGTGCTGATTTACCCACTTAAAGGAAGAGTTTTACAAGTAGTTAAACCTTTCACGACCTATGTACAATCAAAAGCTCAATTACAGAAGCATTCAGACATGCCAGGACTATGTGAACCTGTATGACATTTGATACTACTTCTGTAGATACCAGTGGAAGAACTTCATATTTGTGAACAATTGCAAAACCATCTCAGATTGTGGTGTAGTGGTGTTAGCATTGCTACATTGCTATGTTGGTTTGGTTTTCTGGAGCAAACGCTAAGAAATGATGCAGAAGGTAATGTCATGCCTAAATCCAGAAAACCACAACCTGCTCAAAAACTCTTTAAGGCTGGTTTTGAGAGTGTTTGGGTGACCAAATAGTCCTGAGGCAAAAGGTGATTTATTTCTGCTATATTAAACACACAATAGTGGAATTTATTACTGCAATATCAAATCTTAGGTGGACTCAGTTAGACTCAGTTGCAGCTCTTTTAACATGGTCAGCCTCTTATAGCCTCTCACTTTCTTCCTCCTGTTTCTTTCTTTATCTCCTGTTTATTTCAAAACACATTTCATACATATGTAAATATATGAATAATGTATGTATACGTGCATTATTTACATTTTCATCTGAACACTCCATGTGGAATTTGATGCTCCATGACAAATAAGAAAAGTTACTTTTTCTTTTTAATTCACTACTGTCTGTATTAGCTGATGCACTCTTACCATATTTTGCTCCACAACAGATTTGTTAGTTCACAGAAATGGAAGCAAACTCTTCTTTCTGAGTAGGAACTCCTAATCAGAAAGAGAGGCTGTGTGAATTCTGCAAAGAAGGGAGCTTTATTTTACGAATGCCATACTCTTGTGACAAATCAAAGAAGTTCCCTCATTAACGCTTAGAACCCGCTTAGAATGTTCATAGCGGTCTTCAAGCCTCCACAACTTCAGAACAATTCACATATTCACAGTAACCCAGCTCCAAAAACCACCCAAAATCCAACAACATATGACATGTATGACTGTCTCATGTAAATACTGTAATTGTAACTGTAATTGTAATTGACCAAAATACCAAAACAATTACCCTACATTATTGCAGGGTACTAAGATTTAAACAATCCTACCAAATTTAACACTTTTGAATTCTTCAGCTTAACCAGATCAAGGGAAGTTATACCAAAAGAGATGACACTCTATGCACCTCTAAAATCTTCATGGGCTTATATTACAAAAGCCCAATTATATCTTAAACTCAAACTGCAAGTCTAAATCAAACAAAAAAAAAAGTAACATTACTCTGTTAATTTAGTACTGCTTCCTACTACCTGCTACCTTTTCATTCATTTCCAGTCAAAATGGTTATTAAGTACAAATTATTCATTAGAAAATATTTCATATTTAACAGAAAATTACACAGAAGCCTCCATCACATTCCATTCTTATTGAGAAACATGCATTCTGTTTCCCAAATAAATCCGTAGGGATATTTTTCCACATCTTAGAAGTTGGTTGCATTTTCTGCTTCTCACAATCCAAGTAATCTCAATTACAAATTTAGAATCATCAGTCCATAAAACCTAGCTCCACATCTCAGATGTCCAATTTCAGTTTTGTGCAAATTTTCTTCTTTTTTCTGTATTTGTGAACCATATAGCTCTACATTTATATATACGATTTGAAAAACATTTTGAAAAGTCACATTTGTGTAGCTTGGGTGAACATTTTTGTGGCTCAAATTTTGTCACTGAATGGGATGTATTACACAACTGAAAATGGATTTAGTCAGGCACTTCTAAACTGAACTATAACCAAAGTAGAACCCAGTCAGAGAGCACTAACATTTTGAATTAAATTTATTATAATCGCAAACTTATTCCTTGAGCTGCCTCCTCAGGCATATCATTTGAAACCGTCCAAGCCGACCTCTTGACTACACTTTCCGTAAGAGTCCATGAGCAGCCTATAAAAATGACTCATCTGAGTCAGGGCTGCTCTGGTTTATTTTGTGGCTTGTGTAGGTTGTAGGGAAGGAAGGAGGAAGGAGGATAGGAAGGAGATGTGTGGACTTAATGGATTGGCTAGAACATTTCAGTGTAAACCCACCTAGCCTCAACCTGGTGCAACATCTGAGCTCACATGAAACCTGTCTGAACTACGGTCTTTAGCCTACAGAACTTCAGAGACAAACTTCTACTCTCTCTCCAGAGCTGTGACTTCAGTGGACCACGATGACTGGGCAGTTGCATGGAGACAGTATTTTGGTTGATTGGATATAGAAGCCACTTATGTAACTGCATTTAACAGACTCTCTCTCTCTCTCTCTCTTTCTCAGCATCCCCTTTTTGCTGGGTTATAAAAAGTTGTTTTCATAAGGCTCAAAAAGACGGAGGCATGCGCTGGTTTGGACTCTGGCAGCCAGACACAGAAAGCCTCTCATTTCCCAACGATCGCCCTCCCAGGCCGCAGAGCTCCACAGATAAACATTATAACAGCACAAAAAACTTAATGTCTCCGCTCAAAAACAAACAGCGCTCTGCCATGCCAGGGCTATAGGGATGGTTTTTAAAGGATACACTGAGGCTTTATAGGTTTAGATGAGAGGAAAAAAAAACAAGCAGACGCAATATGTAGGGCAAGAGAGCAGCTGCAGAAGGGCATTATTCAGCAGTATAGAGGAGCAGACGTGGACGGCTCAGCTGCGATATTTAAAGAAACGTCCAGCTCGCTCTGACCGATATTTCAGAGGTCTGAAGAGGATACAGAGGGAGTGAAAGGTGCTCTATCAGTCCTTGCTTTCTCTGTTGTCCCGGGTGTGACCGCTGACCGTGAGGCCCAGGCAGTCACATCCTGTTTACAGCGGACATCTGTAGCCCTGACCACAGGAGAGGTGCTCAACACAAAGAGCAGTGCAGTATCAGTTTACATCCTACCTCCTTTGGCATTTAGATGAGAACTAGAATGTTAACTAATGCAACAATTTATGATTGAATAAATAAATAAATAAAGCAAAGAAGTTAGTAGGTAAATAAATACATAATAAATAAACGTAACAATTAACTACCTGAAGAAACGCAAGTAAATAAACAACTCAATGCAAGTAAATAAACAAATAAAAGTGAGTTCATTAAAATAACTAAATAACATGTAAATAAATCTAAAGTAAATAAACATAAACAAAGGCCTGAAAAAGGAAGTAGATAAGTAGAGTCAACAGGTTACTAGGTAACTAAATAAATAAACATACTGTACATTATATCTACAGATTACCTCCACATTTCAATAAAACCATTGCGCAGCTTATCCAATTAAAAGTGCCAAATTCAAGTTATGTAATCACATTTTATTTTTATTTGGTACATAAACATATACAACCCTTACCTGACTGGGAAAAATATTTACACTTGCTGTAATCAAAAATATAAACTGCTCTACAGTAAACTGCTCTTGCACAACTATGTCCACACTCTATACAAGCAGCACAGAAGAAAAAATGCTTGGTGTTTTTTCTGACCACCACCTCCTGAATGCTTTATTTTTTACTCAAGCTATGATAACTATGATTAAAAAACAGTTTGCTAAGACTGATTATGACTATGCACCTGAACGTAGTTTGTATTTCTCAAGTAATGCTGTGCAAGTCTCTGAATCAGCTCAAAATGAGTGAAACCTGAGAAACAGCATGCACACCAAGATCTCAGATGTATTCACTTGCTCTTCTTGGTGTCCAGAGATACTGTCCATCCTGTCTATCACGTCCTCTCCACCCGTCTCCCGCACACCACCTCAAACCCTTCGACTCTTCAGTATCCTCACTCATGTACCTCTAGCAATCAGCGGCATTTGCAGGATTTGACCACCATGTTGGAAAGCTGCTCCACCCGAGGGGTCCGGCCCAGGAAGTAAACGATAGTAAGGGGCTCCAGGTCCTGGGGTACACAGCAGGGAGATGCTGAAGCCTCAGGATTCATTTTATTATAGAGCGGCAGAATCTGGGAGAAGTACAGAGGTGTACAAATAAATAAAGATGTATAAGAAACAGAAAGTAAGAGTATAAATTCCTCCAAAGATTTCTAGGCGACACAGAAGTAGCTTGTATTATATGTATAAGACAGTAGGCTAGACCAGCGATGCTCAAATAATGTGCTAGTTATCTGCTGCCCCGTAGAGTTTCATTCCAGCACAGCTGGAACTAATAATCAGACGCTCCTTATTGCCTTGATTAACTGGATGAGGTGCGATAAAGGTGTAACTAAACTGTGCCGGGCAGCAGATCACCAGGACCGGACTTGATCAAACAAAGCCGATTATTATAAAGCAGGGAGTCAACCCGGTTTCCTTCCAGGCCAAAACTCTGCAGAGTTTAGCATTATGCATCATTAAACATACATTAAACATACATTATTGAACACATCGCCTAAATAGAAAGACCTTTATGTGTTGGATTTGGAGTGTTAAAGCTGCAGAGCTGTGGCCTGGAAGGAACCCAGTTTGACACCCCTGATATAAAGCATTTCATTCACGCACCATATTGTAGTGATTGTCTGCACTCCACAAGTAAGGACAGTTCCCAGCACAGAAGTTTGCTCGATATCCTTTTGGCTCATGGATCCATTTCCAGTTTAAGTCCCGACGGAAGTCAATATATAGAGACCTCAAACAGCAGCTTTGATCTGCATTCCTGTAGGAGAAATGACAAGAAATGACATGCAAAAACTAATACACAATTCGACCTGGATTTGTTTTACCAGAAGAGGTTCTGTAATGTAATCCATAAGATATGTGACCAGCTGATTCATAAAGTATCTGTTTAATTTATCCAAATTACAACATAGTGCCTTCAGATGGCCCTAGTGAACTCATGAATTTCTAAGGTAATCTCAAAACGTTGCACTTTAACAGCTGACAAAGACAAAAATACCAATTACACACTGGCAATTTTACTGGTTTCCCAAGATCTAAATGCAAACAATGGTAGTTAAACTACCTCCTCAATTGAAACAGCAGTTTAATTACAGTATATCCTCGACTTAAACGGTAGTTAAATTACAGTATTTCCTCATTGAGGAGCTTGGGGAGATCCTAGGAGTGGCAAATAATAACAGTCTATCTTTACAGTTTACTGAATCTTAAAGTTACTCTATGCCAATGACCTTTTTATATACTTCTGTTCCATCAGACAACACACATGGATAAAACTAAACTACCTCCAATAAGGCTTAAGAACAAAAAATAACAAATAACAGTCCACCCTCACTACTTACTCTGTCTTATATTCATTCTATGCTAATTACCTTTTTATGTGAACCTCTGTTCCAACAGATGGATTGGGGGCTGTTTTCAGTCAATTTGAAAATGTTTTTGTAAGAATTGCCAGACTTTTCAGTGCAAGTGTGTTGACCTCAGATTTGTTTTTCTTATTCAATCTTTATAAATACATTTAACTGGCCATGGGGGCTCTAACTTTAGATCATATTAATACCAAAAAGCTTTTAGGAATATGTGAAATATAGCCCCACGAGTCCCTGATCTCCAGCCTAATTAATAAGTAAACAATCAAAAACAAGCTAAACATGAGATACTTTTCTCAGCCAGCACTGAAAATCACTTATGATTTCAGTTTATACAGCAATGAGATGGCACAAGCAAAAAACATTTTATGCACATCTCTATGATTCTTTTTCCACAACTAAATACAAGGCACTCCCTAAGCAAGTCACTGCATGCAAACACTGGATACACTGTATGTCAGTCAGGTTACAGTATAACAGGGTACAATGGCTCTTTTATAGACGCTATCATGCACAGTATAATGTAGAAGTCTTTCAAAAGCTACCTTGAGCACGTTGTGGTGTCGGCAGCTGCCCTCTTCTTGCGATTCTTTTTAGCGGGGTTGTCCAAACGATCAGTGGGCAGCAGGGTCAGTATGAGGTGTGGTGTTTTAGTACTGAACTCTATCTGGCCTTTGGTCGCTCCCGGCCTCCTGTTCTGTCGAATCAGGTCGTCATCAACACCTGTGAAATTGAGGAAGAATGGTTTGAATTTGATTTTTTCACCCAATGTACTGTTAAAGTTAACAGTAACATTGTTCCTGCAGTGTGATCATCAAAAACATTTCAGAACATATGCTATATATATAGAAAAAAAAAACAGAAAGACCCTGACCTGCAAATCGAGCTTCTAGTTCTTCACTCTTGTTGGGCACGATATTGTTTGTGGATGGCACAAATGTGCAGCAAGGACAATGAACGCTGAGCTTTAGACCCAGGTTCCTCTCTGAGTGGGAGGATAATGAGGGAAAATTATTGACTGCACACATCTTTCACTGTGATGTTATTTGCAGATTTCAAAAGAAGAAGAGTTTGAGCAGTTCTATCATGCACTATATGTCCAAAAGTTCCTCCTGCTCATCCAACCTTTCCTCTGAAATCAAGGGTATTAATAAGGAGTTTATCCCTCCTTGCTGCAGTAACAGCCTCTACTCTTCTGGGAAGGCTTTACATTAGATGTTGGAACATTGCTGTGAGGATTTGATTGCATTCAGCCACAAGAGCATTAGTGATGTCAGGTATTGATGTGTCACTCCAAAGAACAGAGTTCTATGCTCCACTGCCTAATACTGGGGAGCTTTATACTCAATGCTTGGCACTAGGCATGGTGAACTTAGGCTCTTATGCGGCTGCTCCAGACGACCTCATTCTAGTGGCAATTTTCTATGTAGATTATATAAGCTGCACTTTAAAGTTGCGTAATTCAGTAATTAGAAGGAGTCTCAGAAGTAGATCCTTTTGGGCATATAGTGTTTGACAGCAAAGAGAAACTATTAAAATATGACTCCACACATATTGCTCTGTGATGTTATTTGCAGATTTGTGAAGGAGATGACTTCTAAGTAAATCTGTCATTTGAAAACAAAGGGAAATGAGTAAAATGCAGCGCGGCTGTGGTGTGGCTGCTTGAACTCTCTGACCTCTGAAAGCCATCCATTCCTTCACTGTCTCAGTGACATCCACAGACAGCCACGCCCCCTTGGCCTGTGGCTGCACTGTTCTTGAGTCTATATACCTCTGAGAGGGGCCTGTGACTTCATCAGACTTTAGAATCTGGGGAGAGAGAGAGAGAGAGAGAGAGAGAGAGAGAGAGAGAGAAAGAAAATAATGCTAGATCAGCACTTTTACTCTGGACTAACTGCAGGTCAGTGCTTATATCCACGGTAATGACCCACCTGGTAGATTTCCACGCGCTGCTCGGTGGCGCGCGCTCGCGCGTTCTGCACCCTGAAGATGCGGAACTCTGCCTTCACGAGCGTGCTGGAGTTTCTCTCCACGTTGGTGACGTCAAACCGAACCACTCTGAAGTACGGATTGAGGGGCTGCGGGTTTATCGCGTCTGCGGGGGGATAAGATCGATTCAGTTCAATCACAAAGCACAGAATGTATTGTGCAGCTTTCAGCATTACAACTTTTTAACTTGTAAGGTTACGTGATGAAGCTAAAGGCAACTTTACGCACTGTCAAGAACTGTTTATTCATGGTAAAGGGGAACTCCAACGCTTTTTTTTTAAGTGTCCGTATAATTAAAGGGTGGAGATGCAAAGAAAGTCACTCAGAGTGGTTTGATGTGAAATGCCTCGTTCAGAATTGTCAGAATTGTTCACGGTGGTGGTGATAGGAACCAGACGTCTGGAGAGTTAAATGTCTCTGAAGGCTCCCTTACAAAAAGTTACTCAATGAAATGATTTGATATATGCTGCCTGATGTCTTACACGTCATTTATGGTAGTTGTGATATAAGTTTGGCTTAAAATTTATTTTAATCCATTTATTTCAATCAGTCCTTAGCGGAGGAGTACATGCAGGACGTTCTGAGACAAAATAGTCACCAAAGAAAACTTTCTTTTTCAGATTTATGACTATTTTAAAAACTCATAATACACATAAGTGTATGTTCGCTTGTGGTTTTGGATAGTAAATAAAATGGCTATATTTGTGTTGTAGACACTGTGACTCTTGGTTCCTATCACCACCACTGTAGCCAATTTAAATCGGTAAGTTTCTCTACAATGAACCATTTACACCAAACCACTCTGAATGACTCTGTTTACATCTCAAGGGCTGAATAATTTAGACCTTTTGAAAAATTGGTGGAATTCCCCTTTAAAATTGAAAGAAGTTAAGCAAAGAATACAAGAAAAATCTTGTAAAAACTCTGTGAAATCATTTGCCATCATGCCATTTGCATAAAGTTAGCTATGAATATTTGTACAGCACCCCAAAATATTTTTGATGCACTTCAGCGTAAATTTTCTTTATAAAATCCTTTTCCATAACGTTAAAGTAAGCTACCACTAAAGTACAGCTAAAGCAAGTGTCTATAATCCTGAAATGAACCCCATTTTAAACTTTTCCCACAAAAAACAGTCGGTTACTGTCACTGCTATCAGAAGGCTGCAGGCAGCTCGACCTCCGCGCAGTGATTTACGGTAAAGATAATGCCGAGCTCGCGCTGTACTGACTGTTGTCCGCGCGCTGGGGCAGCATGTCCACGCGTTGCACCTCCTTGGCATAATAGTCCTCCTCGCTGCTCTCGCGGTCGCAGGCGGCCTCGGCGTGGCGCGCGCGCTCCTTAAGCAGCTCCTTCGTGCTGTTGTAGAGCAGCATGACCTCCATAGGCACGGCGTCCGGCTGCGGGGCGCTCGCGGGGTCCGGGGGCGAGCGGATGCGCAGCTTGCTGAGGATCTGCCCGCGCACCGCCTCTATGCGCTTCGACTTGTGCTCGTCCAGGTCATACGACTGGCAGGTGGAGAAGCCCTCAGCCGACACGGAGAGCTTCAGCACGAGAAGGATGAGGTTGATGAACCACATGGCTGAAGCAGGAAGGAGAAAGTAGTAAAACAGCAGCAGTTTCCTCGCGGAGTGAGCGGACCGGAGTGCGTGGGCAGCAGCGCCGCCGCCTTCACCTGCTCAGCACCCCGCGTGGCGCTCGCGTGCACGTTTTAACCGTCTTTGCGCGCCCCTTTCCACCTCCTTCACGCGTAGCAGCCCAGCCTGTTTGTGCGAAGTTACTTTTAGCCTGTGAGAGTTTCTTTGAGTTTACAGCTGCAGCTTCATTCAGCCTCCATCAGCCGCGCGCTTCAGGTAAACGAAGCGAGAAAAACCATTTTAGAGCCCCGTGTTAAACTGCTGCACCTCATTACGGATTCTGCCTGCATGCTGTTTTCTGGGAGGTGTTATAAGTGCCGTTTCTTTTTCTCTGCATTATTCTGAGCAGCTCTCGCTCTCCGCAGCGTCGGGAGCGGAACCGTGTCTGCGCGCCAGTGTTTCTGCCGGAGCTCCGCTGTGGTCTGGATTCTTGCGGTCCGAGCTTTGTGAGGAAACGCTATTTTAGTTAAACTACTTTCTTTTTAATGTTACTCTCCACTTCACTTTCCCACGAACACAGGACGGTCCAGACACATTTAACCGTTTCGCTCTTCGCGAGAAACTCGCACTTAAATGAGTTCACAGTTAAAAGTCCAAATTTTTCCTCTTAAATTCGTTCACTACCGCTGCCGCTCAGAGAAATAAACACTGAAAACATTCAGCACATTTCTACACGCAACCGCACTGAGCGCCGAGCAGTCCGGACAGCAGAGACAGAGCCTGGTCTATAAGAGAAATGTAGAGGGTTTTAATTCCGCTCCGTAATGGAGAAAAAACAAAACAGTATGTCGATCAGTGTGGCGTCAAAACGTGGACAAAAACATTTAGCTTTAGTCGAGAGGGAGAGAGAGGGAGGGAGAGTGAGCGAGAAGGAGAGAGAGAGAAAGAGAGAAAAACACCGAACTGCCACAGTCTCTGGAGAGAAGAGTGGGCTGATCATACAAGATGTCTGGCATCTTGCCTCCACCTCAGCGACAAAAAAACCAGGAGCAGTTATTTGGGCATTTATGCCTTTAAAAAACACCACGTTACATTATAATAAATGCAAATGCTATAAAGAGTAACCAGAATTCCTTGGTTCCAAAAAAAATAGTTGTGTTTCGGACATCTTACTGACTTACTGACTAAACTCCTAAACACACCCAATTTATGAAGTGTTGATCTGACAAACCAGCTACTGGACAGTAACTACAAATAATTCCACAAGGAGAGATTTGACCTTGGCTATGTGAACACAGGCATTCATAAAATCACTACTTAATACTAATATTAATTGTATTTAATCTGATGTTAGTATTGTGCTGAGCAAATAAATACCTAGTGCCCAATTAAGTACCTTTTAAGTATAATTTTGTTTTTTTTTTATTTTTATAGAGAAAAATAAAAAACAAGGAAAATTATATATTACATATATAATACATTATATATGTATTAAATGTACTATATACTTAATAACTATGTTGTAAAGTTACATTATGAATGGGTCATAAAGCAGAAAAGTGGAAATAGAACAGTAGAAAATAAGGTTAAGAATAAAGACTAAACATCAACAAAGAAATATGATTTTTTTTGTCCCTATTTTAAATGATATAACATTACAAATTAACATTTATGTTGAACAGAACACTTCAGAGAGAGAGAGAGAGAGAGAGAAAGAGAGAAAGGGGGTGGCAAGCCTGAAGAATGTAAGAAAATGATAGGTCTGTTTCAAAGAGGTCAAAAATCACAAAGGAAGAATTTAAGCAGGTTTTATCCCTTCATAATGCCAGCCGTCTGTGTTTTGAAGTTTTCACGCGTAGCTCGCCGCTGCTCAGCCTGAGAATGATTGCAGTTTGATCCTCCTTCATCCCCCCCATCCCACCTCACTCTCTCCGTTTCCACACACGAGCCCATTAATGAATCATCGTCCTGGCTCACCTCTGGAATCTACTCCCAGAATCTTTTACACAGAAAAAGTTTCCACCCAGCTCAGGTGCTGCTGGGTAATTAACAGCAGACCATACAAAGCGCTGCAGTATAGCGGAGAAACTAAAATAACTTTCCCTCAACTTTTCCCCTCTCATGATCCAGCCTTTTCGATTCGCCTCACCTTCAGCTGTGTTATTTTGAACTTCCATTTTATTCTCACACTGAAAAGATTAATTTCCACCTCAGCTCTCAGTCCTTTCATTTTGACTACACCCTCTCCTTCTTCTACCTCTCCCTTCCCTCCTCTCTTCCCTCAGTCTCATTGTTAATTACAGTTCATGAACTACACGATCGTTAATCTGTCAAAAACAGCTTTATTGCAGCTCTCCACCTCCCCCATTATAACGTTATTATAGTCGCAGTCAGAGGGCTGTAATTGAAGAAGTAGGCTAAGCAGAAGAGAAGTGCGCTCCAAGGCGCAGAGACACCCGAGCAAGGAATTTCTTTTTAGCAGAGTGGTTGATGCCACTGATAGAAAAAAATGTTTTTTCCTGTTCAAACATGACTTCAGAATTTGAACATTCATTCAAAGGAAAGCGCTCCCGGCAGGAAAAGTGAAAAATGCTTACGTGGATCTAGATGGTTTGGCGACATCTAGCGCCAGCAGGAGGGGCGGAGGAATACGTTTCTGGTGGTAACTCTCTGGCGGTTAGTGGAAGGATTGAAATACGAGATAAAAATAGTGACCACCAAAGTGTATCGCCCTTTATTTCTGACGTCCCATAATCTAAATATAGTCCTTAAAACGCCACGTCATCACACCTTCAAAGGTTTGAGTGCAAACTTTATCAGCAACACGCATCACACATCGAGTAACAGGCAAACAGTACTAAAGAAAACAATAATAGGGGTCCAAGCACCTCGAACCTCACCTGCCAACACTGCAGCTACAGGGCAGGAAGAGGTTGCTTTCAAATCCAGTATTCCGCTAAGACTGTCAAACGGCCACTGAAAGATAATCAGCTCTTATAGCCATGTCGATCATTCATTTTTATTTAAGGTGAGAGTTCCCCTAAAACACAAAGAGCACTGTTAGACATCACGTTTTTCAACACACTGTAGTGATTCAGATCATCTTAAAATTATGATTTTAGGAAATTCGTGCAGACCTTTGAGAAATGCCAAATTTAACTTGATTTGAACTCTCTAGAAACCAAATGCACTAAATACCAGTCACAACACCGGCTGGTATTATTGTACACCAAAACACCACATAAGTTTCTTGATGTGGTCGGTGACAGAGTATTTTGAAGTTCCTCTCAAAGCATGACAGAAACCATACAGTGTAAATGCAGATTTTGTAAAAAAAAGGCTGAGCTGGAATTTGTGTGAAAACAGGTGATTTGTTTCTTAGGGATCCAGTGATTATGCATTTTTGTGGCTGGCTCAGATTCTGATTTCTTTACAGTCAAATTGGCTGATGGACATTATTTTTGGCAATTTTTTATTAGCCTTACATTTATTGACCCAAACGCTCACACTGTAAGGGCTAAATAAACACATAAAACACACCAGCACATTTCCAGTATTTTGTACATACCAAAGTTGACAAAAAAAAACTTAATTTGCTCTTTTTTGGGTCGAACTGGCCTTTTAAATTCTTAAATTAAAATTAGTTTCCTATTTAAAATAGCAGGACTTCAATCAAGGGCTACTTTGAAAGAGGCAACAGGCTGTTTAGCACAATTAGCTATTAATAATTCTGACATCTTTGTAGCAGCAGCTTTCAGATACAGCACAAATGCACTTTACTGCATCATGTTATTTACACTAAAGTTGCAAAATATTAAACTGGCTGATTTGTGACTGTGTGTTAATGCAAAAATCTGTTGAGGCTGCTGTGGGCACAGGCTCACCAAAACTGGACAGTTGGAAGACTGGAAAAACATAGCCTGGCCTGATGAATACTGATTTCTGCCAAGGCACACAGATGGTTGGATCAGAATTTGGCACCAACAGCATGAATCCATGGACCCAACCTGCCTTGTGTCAACAGGTAGAAGTGATGTAATGGTGTAACGAATGTTTCTTCGCACACGTTGGGCCCATTAATTCTAATCAATAATCGCTTGAATGCCTATTTGAGTACTGATGCTGACCATGTGCATCCCTTCATGGCTACATTTTCTAATGGCTACTTCCACCATGTTAACCCGTCATGTCACAAAGCAAAAGTCGTCTCAAACTGAATGACACTGCATGTTCTTCACTGGCTTTCCCAGTCATGGATTGGGATGTGAATCCAATAGAACACCTTTGGACTGTGGTAGAACAGGAAGGTCGCAGCATGAAAATGCTGTTTCCAACATCTTGTGGAATCCGTACCACAAAGAATCAAGGATTTGTTGTTTTGAGTGCAAATAGAGATCCTACCCAGTATTAGTATAGTGTTCCTAGTGTATATATATATATATATATATATATATACATACATACATACATACATACATACATACACACATACATACATATACATACACATACACACACACACCTACATATAGATCCACCACCAGAGGGCGGACCTTCCCAACGTCCCCAGATTTGTATGCAATACTGAAATTATGTCGCTGTTCAATCCGGCATTGCTTTTGTATAGGGTCCTCTCTTGCATTTGTTATAAATCTTATGGAAATTTTACCTTTAGCTTTTTCTTAAAGTCAACCTCTCAAAGTCAAGTCTCTGCCTTCCACAACCCCCATATATCACTGAATGAAATGCTACACTAGCTCAGAAACCCTCACTGGTACCGCATTTCACTCAGAAATTCTGAGAAAAGATGTGTGATTTTGATTCATACTGACTTTAAGGACATCAATAAAGTGCATTAAGTACAAGCAAAAGGGGCCATAAACAGAACCGAATAATGATATAAAAATTACTTTGTCATTTTTTTTAAACACAATACAGATTTATTTCAAAGTATATTACAAAGCATAACACACAAATACAAAAAAAGCTGAAAGAACAGTGGCCTTTTCTTTGAAACAGAAATGAACTGCAGAAATGAAGGATCATTTTAAAATTCTTGCCAGCTTTTCAGATTAAGTCCTGCTATCCTTTCTAAAAGGATTTGCTGATATCCCTTTCAATTCTGCTGCAAGCCCATTTGACAATGATGCTCTATTAGTTTATTGGAGCGGAAAGGGAGAGGGATCATCACCTATGACTCATCTTCATTGAGCAGCATGTTGGGGACTCCTTTGGAGATGGGGAATTCTCTGCCAGATTCGGGACACTGTAGCGACCCTTCAATTACCTCTACCTATGATCAAGTAAGAAGAAAAACATTATCAGTGTTTATAAATATTCTTGTACCATTGCTGACTCAGTACTGTAGGTACAGTCTATGTACATAGTCATGTTTTCATGTGTAAAAATCTGTCAAACGTAATGCAACCACATCAGTTATTTGGGATAAAATGCACCAAATAATACACCTGCTACACAATGCACCTACTGACTATTACATAAGGATGCTAAGCGCAACTGCACTTACCTCCAGCAGAACTCTGTGTACTTTGCGTAGAAAGTCTTCATCATTTTCATAGTTTGATATGAGTGTGCCGGGCAAGTCTTGCCGATGTCCCAGCTATAGAAACACAGTCAGCACAGTCAGTAGAATGATCTAAAACAATGATGCTGACTTGAAAGGCGCACCGGGCCTCATTCACCAACCGTTCTTAATAAGAAATTTCTTCTTAACTCACTTACATAAGGTTTTCACAAGGATTCAGACATTCACCAATGTTTTCTTATTTGGAATTTGTTCTTAGGTAAGTACAGAATCTACACACACTCAAGAGCACAAAGGTTCAAACAATTCTGCGGTTTAAGAACATCAACAATCTGATGTAGACTTTTTCCTCAAGGACTTTTCTCAAGAACAAATTTAAGGAAAAAACATAGGAAGATGTTCACGAATGAGGCCAATTGTGCCTAAAATGGAAGTGCAGTCCATCTTACCTCTTCCGCTGCCAGGATTAAAGCACTCCACTCAAGCTTCGGGATCATTCGGCTCACAAACTGGGGGTTGAACTCCACTTCATTTACTTTGACCTCTGTTGCCTTTATAATGGACAGAAGTACAACAAATGAACAAAACAGCCCAATATAGTCTCCCCTCTGAGCCTTTAAAGGGGAACTACACTCATTTAAAAAAGTAATTCAGTGGTTTGATGTAACCTGCGCCCTTCTAGAGAAATAAAATGGATACCAATGTTGTTATTGACATTGTTATGCTTTACTTTTTAAAATAAGGTTTTGGCTTAAAAATCATTTCTAGAAATTAATTAACGGCGGAGTGTTACAATAATAACACATCCGCGTTTCCGTGTCCTCCATGTTAAACGCAACGTAGTGTAAAGTTAACTACGGAGCCTCTCGACCACCGTTAAACACCATATCCAGAGCTGAGTCCGGTACTGCGGCTCTGCAGTGAGACCCTTCTCAGGGCAGGAGGGGCTGCTATTTCCCCATACAAGGTTTAACAAGACAAATACAAAACTACTATCTACATTTTTCGCTGTAAATGCTACAGTTACGCAGCAGAAGGTGGCCGCTGGTGAGTTACTGGATGGTGGTTAAGTTCCTAACGTTACCCAGCTTTCTGGCTCCTGTTTTCAACTCCTTTATTCATTTACCTTTATCAGCAGTGGATATCCTTTAGTCACACCTTTAACGTGCGATGTCAACATATTATGCGTTAGTAGTTTCATCTCTGTAGTAGCTGGAACTCTAAATTTGAGGGAAAATAAATAACAAGTAAGGCTCCCTCGTTAGCTTTCCTCGGCCACTCACGTGTACTTCTTCTTCTGTGTTCAAATGGCAGCTACGACCGGATCATATCGCCACCATCAGGACGTTCACTGAAATGATTTTACACCTTCAGTGCTTCTCTTTCAACAAACGGACAAAAAGAAACACTTTTGGTAAAATATTACTTGAGTAGAGGTACAAGTATTCTGTTTATATTCCTAATTGAATAAAGTACTTGTGTTCAATGCACTTAAGTATCAAAAGTTTTATTGTTTTTGCTGATTACGGAGACGTGTAACATTTACAAGCAAGTACTTTTGCACTTTTACTCGAGTAGAAATATAGATAAAATACTTTTAAAGAGTACTTCTACTCATACTCTAGCACAGAAGTGCTTCGTCCACTCTTAGCAAATACAACAAATACAGTATAGGTACAAAAGTAGAGCGGCAGGCAGACGGCCATCAGCTTCTAATTCTCCACACATGCAACACTAAGTTCAGATCAGAACCTCTTTCAAATGTACATGTTTTATTATTTTTGTATTAATTTGTTTACACATTGTCTTTGTATTATACAGGTCATTCTTACAGCTTATGATATAGTAGTAATTACAGAAAGAAACATACTGAGAGCTATGAGTGACATAGCCAACAGATCACCCCAACAAAACAACGGTCAGCCCACAAACATGCACATCCTCAGTCAGACACTCATAAGACACCATGTACACACACCACACATATCTCACTTTCTTTAAACTGTATAATGCATTTAACAAAAAAAAGTGTAAAACATTAATCATAACCCCCTTTCCAACCTTTCGGTGGCTGAAAGCCATTCCCAGTACAGACTACATCACAATGAATATGATGATCATCCTGTTAATCATAATTAGCAAAAAAACAAAAAATAAGACAAAACAAAACAAAAACAAAACAAAACTTTTTTAAAATTCAGGAAGGCAACTAACAAGACAAAGCCAAGCATGTCTGAATTCAGGAAAGTGGACAGATAAAGGCTTTTCAGCAAAAATAACTACGGGTACTGATTAGGAAATTAGCATGAAAGTGCTACAGAACCATGTATATACTGGCCTTAGGAGGAGAAGGATCAAACTAACGTTCAAACCAAATATTGTTCATCTTCACGTTGAACAGAATTATGGCACAATAATACCAGGGTCATAGTTTAAAATAGTTCAAGATCATTAAACAGGTTGTGGAAGATTCACATTCCCATTGTTTAAAAAAATATTACAGCAAGGCCACCTTTATGCAGTCTTCCATGTTTTGCTGACAGATTTCTCTCATATCCCCCATGTGGGCCAGACAAACAATGTCACATTTATTATAGCTGACAAAAAGAAACAATTTAAACAATTAAAGAAAGACAGGAAAACATTCTAGATGCCCTACGTGTAATTCCAAGAGGAAACAAAAACTAGTAGCAGATCATTTGGTAAATGGTAAACAGTGTTCAAGATTGATATGATTGCATACTTTCTGATAAGATGACATGGTAGCGTATTGCACTTGGCTACCTACAGAGAGCTTTACTTGTACCAAAGTGCACAATGAAAATGCTTGCATTGCATGAATGTGAAAATGTGCAACTAACATCTGGAAGCCACTTAAAACATCTCAGATTTTGCTGAGCGGCAGATTTTTTTTCTTCTTCATCATCACTGAATTGATACTCACACAAATACTCACACTTTCACTTGCACACTCACACTTTCACTCTTCCATTTGCACTAGGAAAAAAGTTATTAAGCAACTATCTCAGTCAGTCATTCTTGGCCATCTTCTGTGCGCCATTTTAAGAAGTCTTCTTTTCGTGCGTCTGGTTTGATTTGGTTCCGCATGCCTCCAAGCAGGTTGGAGGTAGCCTCAGAGGCCACTATTAAGGGACGCACCACAGTGGGTGGGATCTGACGCAGAACCCCACCGACTGCCCCAGGAAGACCTTTCTGCTCGTGCCCTCTTGAAGCCACGTCACACAGGGTCTGAGCAGTGTCGATCACTCCCTATAAAATAAAAGAAGATGGCTCTATCAGGTAGGGTTAGTAATGTTATGCTTTAGTAAATTTGTGCATGCATGTGAGGTAATTTTCAAACTGTAGGGGAGGAGGTAAAGGAGGCCACAACAAAATTTACAACTTTGCTTTTTTTTAATTTTGTCAGCTATTAAATCTGCTTAGATCTAAAAAGGATTCAACTGTTTAAAAATGGTAGATGTTGTTAAATATTCAAATTTAATATACAAGCCAATCACAGTTCAAAGACCAGGGGGTGAGACGAGAAGAGGAGTGAGAATGAGAGTGTGGAGGACAGGGGGGTTTGGGGGGCTTGTGGGGCTTAGGTTGGCCAGGTTGGTAGGTACAGTGGCACTTACTATCCACAAAGGGGCCTTAGACAAAACGTTTTTATTCTATTCATCTACTTTTGTCTTTACAATTTAACTTCTATCAAATTATGACAATATCAAAGCAAAAGAAACTGAGCAGAGGGAAAGAAGATATTTATATACATTAAGTAACTGTATTTGTGTCACTTTATTTTGCAACTTACAGCTAATGAGCACTGAAAATATGATATGAAATATAAACAATACCTCTCTGACAGTGTCATAGGCCTTGGCCACACCTTCTCTGAGGTCAGCTGGTTGGGGGGTCCGTCTGGGGCGAGAGGTGGGGCGTCCTTCTGTGATATAACGTGTCAAGGGTGGAGTTGGTGATAGGATGTCATACACTGTTTCTGCTGTGGCCTGCAAAACAAATACGCAAATGTGAAACACTTCCACATTTTTTTTGCACTTGTATGTCATCATAGAACCAAATCTGTTTTACAGATTTGTTGCACAATAAAATGACCATAAAATTACTTTAAATTAGATCAGTCAAATTCCACAGATTAAGTAATCAAATGAATAAAAAAATATTGCACTTACTAATCTGAATACAATTAATACATTTAGTCTACATTTATTATAAAAAATGTAATCTAAAGAATTGTTTGTCATTTTAGTTATAGGTACTTCACTGAAGAGATCTCGAGCCAGAAAACAAGACAGTTTTGAAAGCTAATTTAGAGTACAAAAAAAAAAAGCAAAGAACAAAATGAACAGTTGTGTGTGTGTACCTGTATGGCCTGCACCAGTCTGTTGCTAAGCTCTAGAGCAGCAGAGGCTGTCGAAGTGCCGAAGGATGCTGCCCCCCTCTGTAAGCCACGGATAATGCGCCCGTCTCTCCTGTACTGCTCAATAGGCATCCAGAACAGGTCCCGCACCCCATGGACTACAGTCAGAAAAGAAAAGCAAGCAGAACTTAAGCAAATATACAAACATAAATCAGGATTTTATGGATTTATTCGCTTTGTTAAACACTGATTAAATAAATACAGTAAATAAGTGAAAAATGACTTTTGCTAGGGAGCTCCTATTGGCAATCAAATCAAGTCAAAATTTATTTATACAGTGCTTTTTACAATAGGGGTTATCACAAAGCAGCTTTATAGAGATATAGAGATATAGAGATAGATAGATAGATAGATAGATAGATAGATAGATAGATAGAGTTTCTGGGCAATGACCTCGGAATGAGAGAAGTTGCAGAAATATATGGCTGATTTTGATTAATTAAGCTGTATTATAATGCATACTCACAGAGCTGAACTACAGAGTGCATCGGACCTACACCTCCCAGAATGCCTGGCAATTGATTCTTCCTGATGTCAGTCAGCCACTCGTTCACAGCATACTGAATGACTTTATCAACACCCAGCAATCTAACAGAAGAAGACAAATGTGAATGTCACTTACTGCAATATAATCAGGCAGGCCTTGGCATACTATTGTGAAAAATGAAAGGAAAAGTGAGAAGTACTAGGTATAATGGAGAGAAGTGTCCTATAGGAAAGAGGACAGAGATGGTGGATGTGAATGAGAGGGAGCTATTCACCCATGTCTACAGCACAGCCTCTTCAGCTTCAGCTCTGAGCAGTTCAGCTGGGCCAGGCCGATCAGAATCCCTGCAAATGTTCCCTATAAAACAGTATGACATCGGTGGGTAAACACAAGGCAGTCTGCAAGCCACCAGCAATTGACCATTTTTCTTGTTTCAGTTGTGTACTCCAGTATATTGTACTTTACAGCATACGGTACTATCTATGGATCAAGTTTGGCTAACACTGATTTCAAATCATTTGCAACTGACCACTAAACATGACAAGTACTTTTGATCCTCTAATGTGCTGGAGTACAAAAACTGTATAACTGTGACTTTTGGGCTGCACTGTAACAGATATATATATAGCTCTGAGCATATATATATATATGCTTCTGAGGCACAGGAAAGAAGTGTTATTAAGCATAGAGAGACATCTGTGTCCTTTCTTAATGTGCTATGAATACAAACAAATCAATGCTTGCAACAAAACATTCACTTCTGCATTAATTAAAGAGTTCTTTAACCCAAAAATAACTTGTATCATTTAGCATATCTCCTGAACCCCCACCTGTTCAATGGCCACATGCTTCCCGTGGTAGTCAAGCCAGATAGGAACTTCTGAGGTGAAACGGAATTCTCTGATAGGAAACAAAAAGAGAAAAGGCTTATAGACCTTGATGGAAACATTACATACTGACAAATCAGATTTGTAAATGTTACTGTAAATCCAGTTTACCGGAAATAGATTGGCTGGTCAGAAGACGAGGAGGAGCCAGCAGAAGAAGAGCTCTGCTCACTATAGGTTGTCTCCACAGAGGCAGTGAGGTCAGGGCCTAATCCAGAGCCAGGTTCCGCCTCCTCTGACTGCTTTTGTGTAGTGTCTGCCTTCACTATAAAATAAAGAAGGGAAGATGTATAAGAATATCTCAAATATTTAAGCATCAATCCTCTCCTAAATGCTGGCTCAGACTTCTAGGCTTACCCTCAGCTGCTGGGTCAACAGGCAGATAGGGGTTAACTCCAGCTGCCAAGTTACTGAAGAAGTCCTTCAGGAAGAAAAGTGCATCCTGGGGAATAAGAAAACAATTATAGTAAACAGTCGCAG